TTTTTTTTTTTTTTTTTTTTTTTTTTTTTTTTTTTTTTTTTTTTTTATTAACATGAAAAAATATACTAATCAAACTGTTTTGTTTTCATTACCTTGTTTGCAGTGACTGGTTTGAACTCTGCCTTTAACTGCAGTATGCCAACGACATAAAAATCGCAACAGCACCCACAATAATAACCACCTTGTTGGCTTTATTTTTGTAGTTTAGAAACACCGCATTTTTTTTTTCTGTATGCGTGTATTGGCACGCAAATTCAGTATTAAGATCGCAGGAATCTTATCATTTGTGATCTAATGTAATAAATACAATTTTTGTTTTTGTTTTTATATTGCTACTCATTAAATTAATCACTAAGCTAACTCATTGAAACACGTTGTTGTACAGACACTATAATTGTATACATAATGTTTTCATCGCTGATATAATTTTGTATATTCATTGTACAATAAATCTTGATTTTTTTTGTAAGCAACAATCAAGTATAAAATAGGTTTACAACTTCAACCTGTAAGAAATTTTCCTTCCGTTTCCTGTTCCACATCCTCGTTATTTCCAGGCAAATTCCTCCTTCCTGTGGCTCCAGCGTTGAGGACAGTAAAAGACCACATCACGGACTTGGGTAGGAATATTCTTAATGAGATCGCCCATCAGAGTCTCCCACCCTCGGGGCTGCCTATCCATCTTCCAAAGAAAAGTTCGGCTAAGCAAGAAAATTGGCTAAGATGGTATTTACAGGGTACTTTAAAAATGATAGGACCTAGGTCTGATACCAGACGAACATTTTTTTCACTTGGTATTTTATATTGTGTAAGGAATAGTGTAAAATTATCGACATGATAATATATAAGAAATGTTTCATCGATTATTTATTTGGAAAAAAATTGTACACTTATCAATCAACATTCTTCAGTGTTGTATTTTAAAGATCACATACAAATAGACTACACATCATTTTGTAGTAGTTCTCTTGATTCCGCATTATTCTTAGGATAATTTCATTACACGTTTATAACAAGAAAAAAAAAGAAATAATTAATCATAACATTGAGTTGATAAAATAAATCGATCCAGCAAAAATTTACAAAAATATAAATATATGTTAAGTCCAGATGGTATTAACGATTTCAGTGTCGAGTTGGCGCGCTCGCTGAGAAGCTCAAGCGATTACGAGCAGGCCTTCATGTATCTGCGTTACTGTCGGCAAAAGGAACTCCTCGAAGCCGTAGATCTATCCTCATCGGTTGTCAGCGATGCCCTTTCGAGAATCGTTGAAGAATCAAAGCTTTACGAAAGTGATATCGACGATTTCTGAAGTTGTTCGCGGTAACGAGGTCACTTCAAAAATACTTCCAACCACTTAACACCTTGTACTCTCTACCTAACTACATAAAATATATATTTTACCTCGTATTTTACACGTCAGCGCATGTTTTTATATTTTTTTTTTTTTACATTTCTGCGGTAAGAAATTATTTACAGTGCACACAATAGCTTCAATTTCAATACATTTAAACTCCTGATTGGCTTGTGCAACCGAAAAAACACAATGGATCAGCAAGTTGCCATAATTTTTTTTTTTTTTTACTATCCAGTGTAGTATTTTGTTTGGCAGTACATTTTATTATTATAAACGAGACAATGAAGTGCAAATGCGCTGTATCATTCTAATAAATGTATGTACTTAAACGTTAGCCAAGTAAAATCTCACTGCTACTGTACACCAACATACTTAGTAAGGCAACTTTTTTTTTCCACATGCACCGAATGTTAAGTTGTACTCCTATAAGATATTCCAAGATGCTTACCTTCTAAGATAAAATTAAGACAAGTTTTCAACAAAATTTATACACGTGCACAGGGATAAGAGCCGTGCAAAAACAAAAGCTTCGATGATAACAACAGCGTGCATGCGCGCACAGCCCTAGAGCGTCTCCCGTCCGGAATAGTTATCCAAGCCTGTGCTCCCTACGAGGAAACACAGGCTTGGTTAGCTCTGGGTGAGCACGACCGTCCCGTTCTGTCCGATCCTGTCGTTACCGACGTTACCCGAGTTCAAGGTGACATTTTGTAGATTGGGCTGCAACAGGCCGGACTCGGAGGAAAGCGAGGCTGCACCAACACCAACAGAACCACTCGGGCCTGGATCATCGACAAGATTCACATTGGCAGGGGAGCTCGATTGGTTGTTGGGGCTGGCCCTTACCGCGCTGTGCCGTGACGTTGTCGTAGCCTCAGCCAAGACTTTGTTGCGGAGCTCAAATACCTGCTGAATTGCTTTGCGGAAGCACAAGAAGTTGTAGTCGATTACACCTGCAATGTCGTACGGCGTTCATAAAACGGTTGATTGTCATTTTAATTATGATGTACTTGTAGCTGATGCAAAATTACCTTGTCTTTCGAAATTGTCCTCTCTTAATATACAGACTAGCGCGAGAAATCTGTTTACTTCTTTCAAGTAGAGGATCGTCCCATTGTTCAACTTGATTAAGCTTGAGCTCTCGTTGTCGAAAGCTGCAGCTTCTGCCTCTTCTTTTAGCCTGAATAGAATTTTTTTTGGTTTCTTTAATAGGTAAAATTTCAACTTTTTTAAACATTCGTTATGCTTGGTACCATTGAATTAAAAAAAAAGTCTCAACGTGACATGCTTAATCAGCTTTATCTGAATCATAATTTTAAAATTGGGCGTACTCACCCATATATACAAGAGACGTCGATTACGACATCAATCATATCGCAACAAAGTTCGTAACTCTGCATATCTACTGGCGAGCTGTCCGTGGCAATGTATATCTTTGAAACTACATCGAAGAGGAAGGCCTTTTCTATTGCTGAATTCTATGAGAAAAATTTGATATCTTTAATAATTATATAATAGGCTTGGAATGGCTATTAATACTCAAAATGATAATCGACTTACCGAGATAAGAATGTTAAGCAAATTTTCTAGGGTTGGTAACTGTGGAATTAGTTTCTGTACAACTTTACTAAAGGCTTCAAATATACTGTGATCGTAAATCGATGTCAGATGAAAGCTCAGATGTATTTGATCGCAGCCTGGAACAATGACACAAACGTTTATAAAAAAAGGAAAACATGTCTTTTTTTGGTGTATTATAACACACCTGCATCAATCAAATCATCATTCGCCCGAGTGTGTATATCTCTCTGAGTTTCCATTTTGTAATCATCTGACAAACCATCAACTTTGTGTATAAAAACTTCAAACTTGATGGACTGATTGATTTTGTAGGCTTTGGTAACAGTCAAATGTAGCTTGTTTAGGGCCTCCATGTAATCATCTTGAGCATCGATTACAAAGACTAGAGCCTCGCAACCACCAAAAATCATGTCACTGTCAAAGGTGGGGTCAAAAAAGTCTATTTGTCCGGGAAAGTCCCAGATTTGAAACTGCACGAAACTGGAGTTGCAAATATCGTCTTTTATGATTCTATTTGTTGATTCAAGAAAGAGAGTTTCGTTTGGTGACATCTTGTGAAACACAACTTTTTGTATCGACGATTTTCCACTTCTAAAAACATACAACATTAATCATTGGTCCACGTATTTGATGATTTAAACATAGAATTATATGAACCTTCTGAGGCCCATCAAGAGAATCCTTGGCTTTTGATCCCTGATTGGTACACCCCCGTAATTATAACAATCTGGATCATACGGTGTATACCCAAAATCTTTGGGAAAGGAACCAACATCATAATCAGCTTGATAGTGATCCTCGTCATCCTATTAATACAAACAATTAATTTTATAACTGTTAGTCTTGAGTTGAGATCAAAAGACTTCAATAAGAACAATGAATCATCCTTAGGTAACTGTGGCATTTAATGATTCATTGTATACACGTTTGACACATTTTGAAGATTTTTCCTAAAATTATAGACTACAATAAATTTATCTATTTTTTGTAAACATTGTTTACCAGAAGAAACTATTACACGCACATGATAAACAAACATACGGAACGTATATGCCTTGAGTGAAATAATGCACAGGCTCATCAAGGACTTTTTCAAGCATGCTTCACTCATTGTGTTTGTATGCATAGTAGCTTTGTTAGCTTGGGAGAACCCTCATAATATTTCTTCTTCCATAGCTTATATATTTACAACGCACGTAGAAAAAATCAGGCAACAAAAAGATTTTAAAAATATGTTAATATGACTAAGACACAATTTACCATGTTGATTTTGAAGACAGGTCGAATTTTAATAACTTTTAGAAGAGACGAGATGAGTCTTGGGCGGAGAGTAGTAGCGAGTCAAGAGATCCGAACTAATTAGCTCAAGTGCTTGCAATTGTGGCAGCATTTATTTCTTCACGTCAAATGCAAAACATCCTTTATCAATATCAATTCATTGTGAGGGGCAAATTGCAATGAAGCTTTATGTTGGTCTCGGTGTTGACGTTACTTCCAAGAAATGCGGTGCTTGTTATATTGCGACGCAATAAAACAGTGGCAATAATATTACACACCCAAGAGAGACAGTTTACTCATAAGTTTGGAGCGGAAAGCGTATTATCGGAAACTGTTGATGTTGAAACGTCGGATACTCGGATAATAGTGATAATACCCATCCAACTGATTTTAATTGTTTGCACTTTGCACCACAGTGTAAGGTGTAAGAAATGTTCACTACTCCCACTTAAATTTTTGTAAACATTTTGTGTCATTTCCGCTTTCTCGCACCAGGTGTCACATAGATTAGTTGAGGACAATCATCTCCAGCAAACACATATTTTCTCAAGATTTTTTGTAAGTAGATGTCTTGTAAACTTCTGTTGTCTGTTGTCCATCTGAAAGATATCTTTGGGAAAATGTAGGTTTGTTCTGGGTTCTGGGTCGGGCAATTGGGCGGCGGCGGGTCGCACTCGATACAACATCGAACGTGGGTATCTGTCTCTCTCACACATTGCCAAAGATGGGAGACAAATATACACGGTCGATGTTGTGTCTCCTTCTACTTGCGCTTCAGCGCCGCACATAAAAACTAGCAGTCTATATTCAAATTCAATACAGGGGAAAATATGATCTTTTCGCACCACTTATTTCACGTTAATCTTATCTATAATAATTCTCATCTAAGACCATGCACTTCCAGACAAGATAAGTGTTTAGATGAGCGGTCATTTTCCCCCTTCATCAAGTCCAAAAACTGTCGCAACTTTCATAACTATTGAAAATTGTTGTAAAAAACCAACTGGCAAAGTTGCGGCCGGTTTACTTTATTATATGTGTTGAATCCATTTTTTCAAAGATCAATTGTTGGGTAAAAGATAAATTGTAATCTTGACGCAAATGGCACTTCCATACATTTGTCTATGGGACATACAAACTTTTTTGCTCGTTGGGTGTTTTTGAGGGTCGGGTGTGTGCCCTCGGTAGGTAAAGTATGACCCACCCCAACCTTTCTTGCGTATCATATATACGTTTTACGTTTACCACCTCAATTTGAGTACATGCAACTTTAAACAATGGAAAAACGTTGTTTAAGTACAGTCATTATTTGCGAAGCATTGCTCGTATATTTGTGAATAATACAATACAAGGTGCATAAGCCTTCAACGTGTTCTTTCAATACATTACTTCAAAATTTGTACCAGTGTTTGTCGCACATTTTACGTTAAATCTTGTATGTACACTCGAGGCGCTTTATATATCTGTTGGAACGATTTGTCTACATACGGTCAATGATGTCCTATGTTTTATGTTACAATATAACAAAGGCATACTGTCACTTAACAGATAATTTTTCATCGTTCCGACAAATATAAAATGCCTCGAGGTATAGGTATATACGTAACCCGTGCGGACGTTTTCCCGTACTCGTGTGTTTCACTCGCACTCGGTGTTGGTAGTACTCATTTTCGTTAACTTTACGTTAAATGACCACTAGTACACGTTAATTACAACTTTCTGTTTTTTTTTTTTTTTTTNAATCATAAGGTTCCCCAATTCTGGTAAATGTGGCGGCTGGTTAAGATTTTGACAACTTTCCCGCCTCGCAGCTCTTGGTCTATCCAGTGGATGCGTTCCGTAAGCACCGGCCGTTTAATCTAAGTATTTTTATAATGCGTAGAAAGCTTGTGAGTGTGAGAGAGATAACGTGTCATACTTTTCCCCCGCACTTAAATGTCATCTAGGATACCGAGATACTTGAAGATTAACTGCTGGAGCCGTACCATATAACTTTTTTTGGCTTCGCGGGCTTATGTTGTAACATAGGCCGATGTACAGAAAAATAGTTATATGGTACGGCCCCTGGAGCTTACGGAACGCACTCTGTATATCAGGAATCCCACAAAAAATATCCCGTTTTTTTCCTCGTTTTGATAAAAAAAATTTTTTATATTAAGGCTGTTCATATAGACGCGATAGTTTCACGCAGTCCCATTTAAATCTAACGGCAATGTGTCGCGTCAACTTATAACATGAACAGCCTCCATGTATCGCATCATTATATTTATTTTTATTAGTAAGTTCAGTGAATAATTTAGAGAGAATAATGTCTTGCAGATGTGTGTTGGAACACCGTTGTGCATAAAAGATACATGATAAGATAATTTTTCATTTTTTACTATAATTAATATATATATGACATGCGTACTTAAGTTTTTTGCAAAGCTTGGCGTGGCTGTTTCAATTTCGAGCTTTCCGATATTTTTTCAGAGGTTTCGAAAACATTGGATTTGATAACCCCCCGATGTGCTAACTGCAAGGTTCTGTATTTCGCGTAGACCAGCATAGAACATGGACGGCGCGAACGCAGCCTCTTTTTTTCGCGATTCGTAGCATTCGCGCAAGTGCGTATACCGTATACACAATAACCATCATATCCCATATCTTTTCCCGCCTTTGCCAGGTTAGACTGGTCAGGTATGATATCACCGAAATAAAATCTCCCTTTGTTCAAACACGTGCTACCTATCGGCTGCGGAAGTGTTTGCACTTTGCTGTAACTAAGCAAGTAGGTACATCGGTTTAATAGCCGTTACCCGTCCTTCTCGTTAAATAATTGTAGTTAAAATCAAGGTGTCATTAACAACTTGATGTTCATCTTTGGCTAGTACGACGCGATACCTTTCGTGGGAATAAAGTATTTTTTTGTTGTCTCTTCTCTAATACATTCTCCAAAAATGGTGCAGTCTTCCAACACCTGTAAGTACTTACTTACTCTATTGTTTTGCTGCTTAGAAATATTTTTTTCTCAAATGTGTCAATGATGCAAAATATTTTTGTATTTAAGGTCAAATTTCAAATTCACAAATTCATCTTCCTACACTTATTAAACAGTTAGGAAATGAAAAAGTGATTTTAGACAAACTCCCACTCATATTAAGACACACTAGAGTTATCTCCAATGACTTCCAAACCAATGATGACAAAGTAAAAGTAACAAATGATGATTGTGATGAATACTTTTTCCAAGAACCAGGAAAGAAAAGTTAGTTCCTAATTTATGAAATTGTTCATTCAATTATGTTATTGAGCCACTTGAATCATTGATAATCATTTGTCCACAGAGCCGATGAAAGTCAGTAAAGCTTATTGTTCTAAATGTGACGAGACAGTTGACGATGCAAAGTCTACAGAGAAATTCTGTCCATTTTGCAAAACAATGCTCTCTTACAAATGCATGAATTGTAATTTGCAATTTTCTGCATATAGTAACTTGTACTATCACTTACAAAACTCGTGTGAACCACCCATACCTCATCATTCAGCTCACACTCTTAAAGTGAAAAATAAGAAGATAAAAGATAGTAAGTTTGTACGGAAATTAAAGTCAGTTACACATAATGAAGCGCAAAAGATCAAAGTTTCTCTAGTAAAGTCTAAAGCAACAAAAAATGCTGATACTACGAAAAATAAGGACGCTATTATAAAGAAAAAGACACCTGTTACTACGACCCTCACAAAGAATGATAAAGCAAAGCCCAAGATTGTAACTGAAAACAATTCTGTTAATGGACTCAAAGACAAGACAAATGTCAATAAGAACAAAACAAAATCTCTTTCAATGACCAATGACTCTGAGAAGAGTGCTACACTTGAAAAAGTAGCAAAACGCAATATTGAGCCTTTTGAGAACAACTTGCAAGTTCTAGAAAGTAAGAGCAATCATACGTCACTTGATAATTTGACAGATCTTGGTAAGTCTAAAATTTAGTAAAGTAATATTTGTTAGCAACTGAACTGTTAATAGTAAATATTTCTTTAACAGATGAATCGGTTGTGGTGGAATACAATAATACAAAATTTCTTGTAACTCCTCTTCAGCCAAGTAAGTTTTATTGTAAACTTCAACTTCCTTATTTTACTACTATTTTTTATCAATCTGTGATTTTTTTACAGAATCCACGGTATTACGAAAACTATGCATTCCATGTAAGAGTAAAATCCATCATATGAAATTAAAAAGCTGTACCAGCTGTCACAAACCTTTAACTACACAATGCATCAAATGCGGGAAGCTCTTCCCTTCCGTTAATGGCGCGAATCCTCATTTAGAAAGTTGCAATCCAGTATCGACGTTTTGTTGTTCCAATTGTGAATTTAAAACCACTAAAAGATATACTATACGAGACCACATATCCTTGAGATGTGCATTTTTAATTAAAAATACTTGCAATGATTCCGAAAACATAGTCGTGTGTAAGGGCTGCAAGCAAGCCTTTACAACTATGCAACGTTATAGAATGCACCAACAATACTGTTCTGTACTGAGATGTAGCTTTTGTCCTTATAAGACAAAGTACAAAGCAGCTTTCACTATCCACTTGAAACGTCATGGACAGAATAAAAAAAATGGACCGAATTATCATCATGCTCCTCCCAAGTACACAATAAAACACAATTCGGGTACGTTAATTGATTGTAGTTGAACTTGTTAATATAATTGAACCAACTTTTCATGGTGTAATAGTACTAATTTTTTGTGAATTTCTAGGTATATTGAATAAGATCAAGGAGTATTGTCCAAAATGTAAGTGTTCACAAAATTACGATAATAAAATTAAGAGAATTAGCTGTTCTAAATGCAAAACCATGATTAAGTGGAAGTGTGAGCCATGTGATAAATCTTACAACAACATTATGACTTGTAAGCACCACATAAAAGTAACGCACATTGAAGAAAAACACGCTGTAACGTGTACTAACTGCCAAAAAAAATTTATAAATTACTTAAAATTCAGAATTCACATAAAAACTTGTGTTAAAAAACCAGGTGTGAAATGCCAATATTGTGATTTTGCGACAAAATACGCACACAAAATTAAATTGCATCACAAAGAGAATCATCCCACTGTACCCTTGGATGAAAAAATATTTAAATAGAGAGAAAAATGCAGCAAAAAATATTTGGAGCCGTATGAAAGAAATTTGCCTTATACATATTTTAACCTTGAGTGAGACTCTTTTTTCATTTTTTTATGTCTTGCAGATGTGTGTTGGAACACCGTTGTGCATAAAAGATACATGATAAGATAATTTTTCATTTTTTACTATAATTACTTTTAAGGACTAACGACACTGAAATTTTTTTTTTTGTTTATTGCTCAAATTAAAATAGTTAAGTACTCATTTTTCATTTTTTTTTTTTTAAATTGATGTTTTATAGAAAAATGAATTCCAGTTGAATTATTAAAGATTATAAGTTACAGTAGTAATTATTATTGTGTATGTGATAAGTTGTGTACGATAAAAAAATTTAATGAATAAAATTTAAATACATAAAGAAAAATGGCAACATACAAATAAAATTTCTTTTGTTAGAATGTATTATTTTAATTACTAGATAGCAAACTTAGTGTTGCGTACATAGAGAAATGTATCCATGGTTAAACTACCTGAAAATCGTGAGTTAGTGTCTGACGTCACACAATATATTTCATTTTTAACTAATACTTTTTTAGCTACCCATGCACAAGCAAGATGTTTTGATTATTTATAATGAAACACACAATCTGATCAAATTTCGCGCAGTAGTGATTTGAGGTGCGTTCCGTAAGCTCCAGCAGTTAATCTTCAAGTATCTCGGTATCCTAGATGACATTTAAGTGCAGGGGAAAATAACGACTTGTTATATCTTTCACGCCAATAAGTTGTCTACACATTATCTAAATACTTAGATTAAACGGCCGGTGCTTACGGAACGCATCCTTGAGCGGACCCATGGGCGAAAAGTTGGGCCAAACTTGACTGCCACGCCGCCGCCCATACCTTCTTGGCCGCAACTTGACACCTGACGAGATAACGACCTGACCCATTCCAGTACTTATTTGTAATGATGACGTTGAGGGTTGAGCGCAGCTTTGACTTGACTTTTTCATACGCTCCGTCAGTCGCTTAAGATCACGTGATGATTTGTCATAAATATAATCACTGAATATTAAGCAACGGTCCAGCAAATATTTTGTTTTAAGATTTCTTATAAGTGTCTTCAAATGTTGTAAGTCCAAAAGATATCTTTCAGGTCGCTTTGTTAATTAATAAATTCAAAGACACAAGCGCCAATCACCACACAACCCGAGGCGCTCACTACTCGCTTTGTTAATTAGTCAAGTATTCGAAAATAATAGGGTTGAGTGGTGATTGGCCCTTGTGTTGTTGTATTTATTTCATTAATTAACAAAGCGACCATGCAGTAAGCGCCCCGAGTTATGTAGTAATTGGGGCTTTTGTTATTATTTAATACATTAAATTTTAAAAGTGGCCAGTAGGCGCTCTGGGTTACTGGGTTAAATAGCTTGGGGTTTATTTATTTATTATATGTGAAATTTTGTCGAGTTATCTCGGTTTTTGCGTCATGCTCCATATAGCCAATTTAATTGTCGCGCCACTTTGGATGCCACAATTGGCCTCGCTATAGGATACCGAGATACTTGAAGATTAACTTCTGGAGCTTACAGAACGCACCCTATATATGTGTATTTCAATGTAAATAGCTTAAATCAAGAGCTGAGACCGGAGGGTGGTCAAAATCTTAACCAGCCGCTACTCACCAAATTGAGAAACCCTATAATGATTTCGTGGGGATGCGAAATATTTTGGTCATATTTTATTCTGGTGAAGAGTTTTGTCGGTATTTAAGAAGTGCCATATGGTCTATTTTGTAAACCAGCCGTAACTTAAACCAATGGATAGAAAATAAAAAGTTGTCAACTGAAAGTGCCATTTGCGGTAAGATTAGAATGCATCTTGTACCCGAAAATTGACCTTAAAAAATAGATATTGTAATATTATCTATAATCGTATCTACCATGTCTTGTCTAGTATCTTAGATGATTATTATAGATAAGATACGCGTTAAATGATCGGGGCATGATTATAATATTTCTGTGGCGTCTAATGTTTCTGTTCTCTACTATCCCATAACCAAATATTTATATATGTATTTATTCAATAACTAAATATGTATGTATATAACTCAGCGCCACGTACGCAAATCGGTATCACCCCGTGATCGGTATGGGAAAAGGTTATTTTCTCACTTTTGTTGAGTCCGAAAATTTCCGGAACTTTGATTTTGGAGAAAAATTATTGTAAAAAAAATTAACTGGCAAAGTTGTTGCTTGGTTTTGATTTTTTGTAGGGGTTCTATTTTTTTGAAGGTCGATTTTCGGGTACAAGATGCATTCTAATCTTACCGCAAATGATATTTTTCAGTTGGCAACTTTTTTTTTCTATCCATTGGTTTAAGTTGCGGCTGGTTTATAAAGTAGACCATATGGCACTTTTGAAATACCGACAAAACTCTTCACCAGAATAAAATATGACTAAAATATTTCGCATCTCCACGAAATCATAAGGTTCCCCAATTCTGGTAAATGTGGCGGCTGGTTAAGATTTTGACAACTTTCCCGCCTCGCAGCTCTTGGTCTATCCAGTGGATGCGTTCCGTAAGCACCGGCCGTTTAATCTAAGTATTTTTATAATGCGTAGAAAGCTTGTGAGTGTGAGAGAGATAACGTGTCATACTTTTCCCCCGCACTTAAATGTCATCTAGGATACCGAGATACTTGAAGATTAACTGCTGGAGCCGTACCATATAACTTTTTTTGGCTTCGCGGGCTTATGTTGTAACATAGGCCGATGTACAGAAAAATAGTTATATGGTACGGCCCCTGGAGCTTACGGAACGCACTCTGTATATCAGGAATCCCACAAAAAATATCCCGTTTTTTTCCTCGTTTTGATAAAAAAAATTTTTTATATTAAGGCTGTTCATATAGACGCGATAGTTTCACGCAGTCCCATTTAAATCTAACGGCAATGTGTCGCGTCAACTTATAACATGAACAGCCTCCATGTATCGCATCATTATATTTATTTTTATTAGTAAGTTCAGTGAATAATTTAGAGAGTATACGTACCCACAGTAGGTCAGTTTATATATAAATACAAATAATTAAAGCGCTGCTTAACCTTTAAAAATTCAATGTTTTTAGTGGTATAAAGTTGCATACTTAGTTTTATAAGTGTATGTTGTTATCTGGAAGTTTAAAAAAAACTTTTTTATGTGGCACAGTCCCACTGGCACTATTTTTTAGCAAAGTATATTGTATAGTTGTAGAGTTTCTAATTTTCGGATGGTGATGAGGCATTTATTGATAAAACGTAATTAGTTGAAAGATTTTTCAAGAAACATTTCAAAATGAGTGAGATAACCGAATCTAATGTCGAACAATTCAAAACTGAGCACGAGTGTGACGAACACTGGGAGTTACGAAGAAAATTTCTCTTGGCACACAGTGACAAGTTCTCTAGAGATGAGCTGGTGTGTTTGGCTCAAGTTTTTACAAATGTGGAGTTCCTTGGCTGCAGATATCCCAAGGAGACGATGCAAATGATTTCTGAATTATCTCACGAGGTTGTCAAGGACTACAGAGTCAAACAAAAGACGAGACTACAGAGAACGTTTGTCAAGGCCTCTGACGCAGCCAGCTCCAAGGCTAAAGGTACAGCCAGGAATTGTGAGTTTTAGAGTAGAATAGTGATTACAAAACCTTTTTTTACAATTTTCTTACAAATTATGTTTCATTACAGGACATTCTAAACAAGAAAAGCCCCAGACCTCTGCAGCAGCAAATTACCTACCACTATCAAATAACTTTACTAAGGCTCGAGAAGAAACAGTGACACCAGAAAAACCATTAAATGATTTCAAAAAAACTCAAGAGGGGACAGGGACACAAGAAAAACTGGCAAGATCGAGGTCTCCAATCAGATTTCCAGTAACAAAAGCAGGAGGAGAGTCATCAAACTGTAATTTGCAATCCTCAAACGTTAATTTCAAAAGGACAAAAGAACAGAATCAACAGCACAAAAATCCAGCAGCCAAGAGAAAAAAGTTGAATCCAAAGGCTTCAGAAATCGTTTTGTTTGAGTATCTAAACGACACTCCACAAAGCATTGTCGCTAGAGTTGCTAACAGCAATGGCATAAATCTTGAATGGAAATTCACTAACTCTGGATGCAATGTCGTTTGTACTGTGCTTTATAATAGACAGAAAATGGGACAAGGTGTAGGACTTAATCAAAAGGCTGCAAAAAAGGAAGCCTCGGAAATAGTGCTGGAGGAGTTGAGAAAACGCCACTACACGATCAAAGTTACCAAGAACCTGACTCCAACAGTTTCTGATAACTTGAATCTGCACGAAAAACCTGAATTTAATGCTTTGAGCAGCGACAACATTGGCTCTAAAATGATGAAGTTGATGGGATGGTCAGGTGGAGGACTCGGAAAGAAAGGTCAAGGTATAGCAGAACCGATTAGCGTACACCAGCAGTTGACTAGAGAAGGGCTTGGTCTAAAACCAGGGATGTATAACATGGGACTATTTAAAAAGAAGTGCTCGGAAGTACTTCAGAATTATATGCGTGGTGACACAATAACGGATCTGGTATTTTCTCCGTGCTTTACTAACGACGAGAGAGCCACTGTACATCAAATTGCCCAACAAATCGGTTTGAAATCACAAAGTTATGGTCCTAAGAGTCAGAGAATTTTGACAATATCACGAAAAATACATCCTAGGGAACTGGTTAAGGAGCTGCTGGAACTTGGCGGTGTCACGGAAAAATATGAACTCATCGAACCTCTGATGGATAACTAAACTACACAATAGCTGGCCAATAGCAAATACTTGTATTAATTGGTTTTTTACACGATGTACACTTTAAAATAAAAAATTAAGTAATACCCTAATAAATTGTATTTTATTGAAACGCCATACTTTTATCAAATATTATTCGAAATAATTTAAAAAGACCCATAGCGCCACGTTTCCTTAAATGTTTTCTTCTATGTGACTAGTAAAGAAACCAAGAATTGACGTTTCCTGTGACGCTAAGCTCATTTTGTATATACTACATGTCAGGCTGATCGCTGATCTTTTTGCTGTAATGCTGTATTGTTACTATTGCTGTGACCATACGTATATGTATAAGTATTGTATTGTTATGACAATCCCACATTCCCGACATCAGCTGTAGTGCAAGCAAACCAAGCGAGACTTAAGTTAAACAAGAATAAAATGAAAAACTAAAATAACCTGCATCCTTGCAAAATTGTGGGTGTGTCTCCTATGGATACCTAAGGGGTACAGTCTACTTGAAAGACTATAAATTTGGAGCTGCTACCTTTTTTTGTGCAATTGATTAGATTTTTTAATCTTTTAGAAAAAAGATTGCGCGTTAATTGTGTTTTTGACGGAAGGACATAAAAAATAGTGTGTCTACAACAGTGCAACTGATAATTAAAAGAAAGCTATGTACAAGTAACTGATAAGCTGCAAAGTATATTTTTCTGTTATCAATTGTTTGGTAATAGTTGAATAGTTGAATGGTGGTCTGGTCTGGTGGTCTCTCTCCAAAAAAGAAGACTCGTTATCTCATATATACTTATGAGCTGCACTGTTAAGCCAGCAGAGATTAGCTAGTACACATACACACGCAGTGGAGTATCAGTAAACATGCCTCTTGTTTACATCGATGGAAATGATCCATGGTAGTGATAGATACCGAACAAGCATGAAGATTTTTTTCTCTGTGCTTTTGGAGGCACACCGTCTGACTCGTACTGATTAATCTCTTTTTTTCAGGCTCAGCGAGTACGATGCTTGCGAAGGCCTTGCCAGGGAGATTATGGAGCAGTTGACGCTCAGAAATCAACAGCCAAGAACGTCCCAAACGTATGCCAGTATATCTGCCAATGTGCGCATAAGATTGAAGCAATACAGCAACCAAGTTAAAGAGCTGATGAGTAAAATCAATGAGGATAGGAGGCAGCGAACCATGTATCCTTAATGACGATTTTACCTATAAATAAGATTCATATGCAATTATATAAAAAAATATGCTTGACTGAAATCATGAATCAACACGTATCTTCCTTATGAGAAATAAAATACCCAATGAACAGAACAGCAGAAGAAGCAGAACGTAGAATGCGACAAGTGGAGCAGTTACAGAGCAAAGACATACAAATTCACCGATTGTATGAATCAAAGACTAACGAATTAGGTATGTCACGACAACAATTACTTGGTCCATCGACGTCGGCATTTGCAGACGGTGGTACCACTAGCTGGGGTATCGATGACGATGAGGAGGAAAGCGACGATCGCATGGTGGAAGCTAATGTTACCGTCAATGATCTTAAACAGCAAAAGCAACATCTCCTCCAACGTTGGTTGAAAATTTTAATTTTTTAATAAATACAACTACATTTTCTTTTTCGATGGAACGTTTATCTTTTCGTTACAGAACAAGAAGAGGGTCTAGAGCAATTGTCTAAAATAATTTCGAGGCAGAAGCAAATCGCACAGACTATTCACAGCGAGGTTGAACATCATAATGGTATATAATAACTATATTAATCATAATGGTATTTATCACTATTGATTAACCGCAGAGTTTGATTTATTTTTTTTCTTTCCCAGATATAATTGACGATTTAGCTGATCACTTGGATAGGACCGACGAGCGCATTGCGGATGGTACTCAAACAATCAGAGTTATCAGCAAAAAAGACAAGGTTTGCGGATACTGGGTTGTAATTGGGTTATTATTCATCAGCATTATCGTTGTCGCGATAATTTAATTCATTCCCAAAATAAGTTTCAAGAGAACACGTCTTCTTAGCAATCTGTGATTACTTATTGGTTTTATCGAAGTTTTATATAAGCATATTGTTTCGGTAATTTTTACGTAAAAAATTGATTACACAATAAACTTATAAAACTTACAGCAATGTAGTTGATGTACATATTAAAAAATATATAGTTCATAACGTAAACAAATTTCTTAAAATGCATTCAAATATATATAATGAATAGAGTGCACTATAATTTTGTATACATTTAAGTCTTTGAATAAACCGAATTTTATTAAAAATGTTGATTTATTTTATATTCATGGTTTGATGTATAAAAAAAAAAGTTGGGAAATATTTAAATGATTAAGACACTTGTAACTCGTAACGCGTATATGTCTGATATTTACAATCATAATTCTTATAGTCTTATACAAATAAATCAATGACTTACAAGATATAAGGTAAGTTGAAATCATATTTTTGAAGATTCATCCGAAAGTATCTATTTCGTTACAATCTTGAGCAGTCTTTGCACACAATCTAATTTGCAGTATTCTGTTAAACATCATACCCATTTTGTTACCGGCCTAAGCTTAGAATATCAAAATATAATTTCATCGTTGCAAAGTAAACCTCATCAATTTCAAACAAATATTCGTTGTAAATGTTTGAAACTAATAAAAACGAATCGGAGTCAATAAAAATCTCTATTCTTAATTCAATCAATAACAATCATCAATTTGGCTGATCACATTTACGTCGTCTCATCAACTGGTTTGAGATTTAAGCTCTCGATAAAAGCTTTGACGCAAGGGTCCCTGCCTCGAAATCTCCTGAATAACTCGCCTGCGGCCACACTGCCTCCCATTGTTAAAATCGTATCCTTGTAACGTCGAGCAATCTTGCGCTGCTCTTCATCGACACCTTTGGCCTCCTGGAACGCACTATACACATCTGCTGCCAGCATTTTGGACCACAAGTCCCTGAAAGTTTAGCTTGTTGGTGGAGGATAATTTCTTATGAAGTTTTATTTATAATTATAATAAGATTCAACTCACGTGTAATAAGCACCACCAAGATTATCAACAAATATTGAGTCCCAAGAACACACGTGCGAATCCCTTTTGTCTTCCGGGAAGACAAAAAACTCTTTCCATGCTCTCTTCATAATATGCTCCCAAGGACGTTTTCTACAAAAGAAATAATACACTTACTTACCCATAAACAAACAAAAATGTATCGAGATGTCACTTACATCGAATGAAGGTCGAGATCAAATTTGCACAGATAAAGCTCCTTGCACAAATTATAACCAGCCATGTGGTAACGTGCCTCTCTTAGTTTCTGTATCATGTCGTCATCGAGGCTTTCACCAGTATCAACGTGTCGACTAATGAGCTTGAGAACTCGTGGCTGGTACAACAACATTGCCATGAGATGCTTACTTGTTGCTGTTGCATCCCACTCAACGTTTGACAAACCTGCTACCTCAGATGATTTTACCCTTGTAAGTACCTGTTGTAGCATGTGACCAAACTGCAATAAAAATAAAAAATATTAAATAAAACAAGACAAAAAAATTTAAGTATCAAAATTTTTTTGGCATTATAACACTCACGTTTTCAAAAAGAGACTGAACTCCCTTTAAAGTAAGCATGGATGGTTTACCATCTGCAGTAGGTGTTGGAAAGTTGAAGATGATCGATGTAAGAGGCTTGCAGCCGACAATTTCGCTTTTGTTCCTGATTGATAGCACCCAGCCCGAGTGTCTATTGTAAGACACTTTGCTTTGGTCCCGAACATACGGGTCGAAGTAGAAACTGCCACAAGGCTCGGTCTTAGAAACGTCTAAATCGTAAACATCGAAAAAATCAACGTCACGGTGCCAGACTTCGACGTCATCGTGGTGCTCAACGATTTCTACGTTGAAGAGCTCCTTGATTAACCGAAATAGACCGTCCATTACAAGTGGCAATGGAAAATATTTCTTCAAAACTTCCTCATCGTAGCTGTGAATGCGATAGTAAATAAACAATTGAACAATTTGTAAACAAGGTGATTGTAATGATTAATCTTTTAAATTACTTGTATAATGCACGCTTTTGTTTCCTAGCCCAGTAAGAGATATCCCAATGTTCTAGTTTTTGATCGAAACCTCGTTCTGCCGCAAACTCTGCCAAGCTGTCAAGTTCTTCTACTTGACAAGGGTATGCAGATTGCCGAAGAGTTTCCAGGAAATCATATACATTATCCAAGCTTCCAGCCATTTTGGTAGTCATGCACATTTCGGCAAAATTCTTAAAACCCACGTATGTTGCCATCTCACATCTATCTGTCGTGATACCATTAACAAGTGAACTAGTTTCTAATTCCTGCACCTCCGACTGCCTTGAACATCTCACGACGCTGGCTTGCCAAAGATTCCATCTTAATAATTTGTCTGGACAGTATTCTGAGATAAAAATCATAAAAGTATACAAATAAAAAAATAAAGAAGAAAAAAAATGGTAAAGCAAAAAAGTATTTTCATTAAAAGCACTAAAATGTTTACCCATAAACGTTTGTAAAACATTGGGTTTCAAAGTAATGATCCACGGCCCCACTTCATACTGGCTAGGATCTACTGCAGTGAGTTTCAAGAATTCCTCTGGGAACCCTTTCATTTTATCAGGATCTGTGATTTTGTGCTTGAATACGTTTGTGGCAATCTCAACCTTCTGCTTGAATTCCTCGCTTTTTTGTGCTATCCTATTTAGACAATCTTGAAAGTAATACTTGTCCGCCTCACCCAGATCAAGTCCATTTAGTTTACCCTCAAGTATATATTTTTCCAGGATCCTACTCTGCTCCTCTGTCAAGTCTGTTAATTCTTCTTGTGCCTTTTTGCATGCTTCGTAGATGGTTTTTGTGTTATATTTGTGCACAATAGCAGCCCATGCCCTTTTGTGAATACTAAAGTAACATTTTGTTGGCATCAAAGATTGATTGCCAAAGTATAAAATCTTGGATATACCCCATGTTGTTTGCAATGGCACGTCGAGCTTCTCGATTGGTTCAAATACATCTTTGAAAACATCTACTTTAGGTAACTCTGTAATGAAAATTTTAAAAAATAAAAATTAAATTATATCATTAAAAAGATAAATCTTATAAAATTCTGAGCTTTTTATACAATACCGTCAATATCACTTTGTATAGCTCTAATCCTTTGTTCAAATTCCAACGATTGTTTACCAATAACTGCTATACACTTCTCAACAGATGCCTGATTAAATTCAGGTAACAGCGTTTCCTCTTTCAAAAGTGGATTTTTTTCTGGCAAATCTTCACCAATTTCCGGTAATCTATTATTAACAAATGAAGTAAACGCTTGTGAGTCAAAACTCTATGTGATGGGAAATTACATAAATTTCACCCGTCATGAATAAAATCAAGTTATTGCAAGAGAAACTGGTTGGTTAACTTGAAATAACGTGTAAGTACCTACGATGTTGAGTATTACATAAATAAAACTAATATGACCAAAAGTATTTAATGTTTTCATTCTGGAGATCATCAAAGTTGCATATACTAAGCATGGTTTTATTAAATTCGATCAAATTTGTATTAACCATTATTAGAAAAAAAAAAATGAATGATGAAAATAAGTATTGATAACAAGTAAACAAATAAACAATAACGCAAAATTGCGTCTCTTGAAGTAAATGCAGGTGTATATATATGTATGTACATGTGTGTATATCGAGATGTTATTTTATCTAACCTCAAAATAAATACGACTTACAGTACGTAAAAGCCGCTGTCTTGTCGGCAGGGATTCTTGAACAAATTGTTTCTCAAGGACAGTATCCTCCGCCCCAAAAACAAAGCCGCCATAGTTTACTTCAAAAATAACAAAAATCAGCCGTACTGTTAGTAACTTAAGAATAATGTTTAAAAAAAAGTTATCTTTTTTCAACTATTTAAAAACATCATCGCAACTCGTAACAGCAAGTGCTTCAACTTCTCAACGAAACCAATCACATTCATGAACTGCACTGCATCATCAGACTACGACTGACGAACTAACGTGCAAAAACTGCGATCCCTTTAAAAACTCCGAAACTTTGTGACATTAGTTTTCCCCAAATTGACGGCTTGACGGTAACCCAACCCTCGTTAGCCGAGAGCGCGAGTGCCGCGAGTTTTTGCATTTCTTATGTGCAGAAGATTTCATCGCATTTGCCGGAAGGATGGAGTAAATGGAGTTGTTTTGTTTACCATTTTTGTAGTGCACATGATGTTTGGAATATCACCAAGATCCTTTGTAAGTATACTAGACACTCATTTTCGCACTTTTTCGTCCTTAAGAGACAAAATTATTGCACAACCCTCTCAGCGAGTGAAGGGAATAAGAGTTTACGCTACGAGTTACCGGTAGGAGATGGAAGGCGTAAGTACATGATGATCACAATTATTACTTATTTCACTAATTTTGGGATGCATAACGAGAACTTTTTCAGCCTATATGTTTACAGTCTCGTTACATGGGACTGACGTTGTGTGTGGTGATGATCTATGTATTTCTCACTGTACGTGTATAATAAATGGTGTTGCACAACAGATTTTGGAAACCCCTGCGATAGTTGTCTGTTGTCTCTGACGTTGATGATGTTAATAACTCCTTATTTAACGGCTGTAGCTATTAGTATTGGGATTAAATAACATAAGGTTTTGTTTATTTCGAAAAAAATATATTTATTATTAATTTTTGAAGAGCTCCTTGATTAACCGAAATAGACCGTCCATTACAAGTGGCAATGGAAAATATTTCTTCAAAACTTCCTCATCGGTACAAGATGCATTCTAATCTTACCGCAAATGATATTTTTCAGTTGGCAACTTTTTTTTTCTATCCATTGGTTTAAGTTGCGGCTGGTTTATAAAGTAGACCATATGGCACTTTTGAAATACCGACAAAACTCTTCACCAGAATAAAATATGACTAAAATATTTCGCANAATTTTTTTTTTTTTTTTTTTACAGTAAATCATTTTAAGTATTAAAAAAAATTAAAGTACATCGTTGACACGCTACTTTCATCGTAACTCTGCGATTGTAGATGCATTATTTTCATGCATTTATAAAAAATATACATGTACATACATACATCGTACCATTTTTATTGTCGGTATTACCATGGAAGACACATAGTATGAACACAGTTTTAATATACATGTTCCTGTACAAGTTCACGATGTAATCTCTCATTTAATATGTCTAAAAACATCGTGTATACTCAAACGAATTTATTGACGCGAGGAATCAATTTCATGAGATACGTTTAATAAGGATTTCTCTAAAAAAAAGTACGATAACTTACTGTATATACGTATATATTGAGATACGCAAATTTAAGCATTACCAGCGTATGTATTGCCGTCATTTCTATTGGGTGTAATGATATTTTTTTTTTTAATAATATTTCTCAGTAAACACTCTACGCTACCTATAATAGCCGTGGTTGTCTTTAAAAGTCCACTAATAAATTGTACGATAGTTATTGTTATTATTCAAAGGGCATTTTTTTCGTATACTTATGATCTAAAAAGTTTTAAATATACATTATTATTTGCAGTGCAATGATAGAATGACATACACGTTCATCGAGTTGATGTTGAAATCGTTGTGTCATTTTCTTTCAAGTCTTGTTTTCTTATTTAAAGTCAGTTCATTTTTATATTTCGGCACAGTAATAATAATAAGCTCGTTCGACGAATATTGCACAGCTTAAATTCGTTCCACCTGAAAAAACATGTAGACTTATTTTCATGAGGTATGTTATGGCATATTATCAGTTTGAGGATATTTCATCGAGAAACAATTGATTTTACATTTTCACTTGACGTCTCGTGAGTTTTAACGTTTCACTCTGTACTTTTGATCGTTCGCATATATGTGGGTCGTACTACGAATAACGGTATATTTATTTCAAAGGTTGAAAAGGACAAAAAGCAAAAAGGGGTTATTCATTTTTCTAGTATTTTTCATGACCATAGAACACGTCATCATTTTTTGGGTCCCGCTGAAAAAAAATTTCCCAATAAAAACGTAATGGGTAGTGTCGCGGGCTCTTCTTTGCAAAAATAGGGGCGTTACTTTGCGCTTGCACTCATGTATGATGTACATTTTAACATTTTAACTCATCGCCCTCCAAAAAAATGTTAAATTTGTGAGATTTCGATCCCGCAACTTAAACAGCATCCAAATCATCGATACAACTTTTTTTTTTTTTACTTATCAAAATAGCATAAAAATGTAGTTGTTTACGTTGATAATTTTAAGATTCTTATATGCAGCAGAAAAAATTTAAAAATCCGTAATTTCCTTCCAAAAACCTGCAAATTTCCGAGTGAGACACAAAAGCCCGTAACGCTATTTTAGCCCCTTTTTATTTTCATCTAAAACTAAAGCAATACTTTTTTATGACATTGAGTGGAAAAAAACTAGATTTTAAAATGTTTTCAGACCGACATCTCCTTACACGATGTTGCAATCGACTGGGACCCCAACTAAACAACCATTCTTGGTAGAACGACCCATATTATTATGTACCAAAGGTGTATAAAGTCAAAAGCAAGACAAGGAAAAAAGTTTTTACCTGAAAACGACGTTTTCCCTGTACACGCTCTCCAACTGCATTTTTTGTATATCAATTATGACACCGAGCTAATGGCATTGTGTGGCGTGCCCATCTGGGTAAGGACTGAAACGGAACATTCCACAAGTTGAAACTACATTGCGTTGTACAAATTGCAAGAAGAAAAAAAAGTTTTAAATAATACAATCATCACCATTATCAAGCCACTGGAGTGGGCCATTCAAGTGCATCTCGATCCAGCAAGGCGTCGAGGTGACGTCTTGGCGGTGGTACTCGGCACCCCAGCCCTTGACGAACGACATTCTGCAACGCAATTGGTTGGATTGGTTTTACATTTATTGTTATTTTCAATGCTAATAATGAAGTACATAATTATGATGTATATGTACGTACCTGATGGTGCACATTTTGGTGAGCTCGTAGGTGGTCTCAAAGCCATGGCAGACGCTCTGGCCCAGCAGATCGGCAAAGAGCTTGTTGTCGAAGACCTTGAGCGAGCAGGTGGGCGGTATCTTGATCACGGTGCTGAGATGGAAGTTCCTCTGGTAATTGCAGTTCCTCGACTGGACGAAGATAGCCGAGTCGGAGTTGCACTCGGCGAACAACGAGCCACCGACGTAGTGGAGCTGCACGCCCTTGCCGATGTGGCGCCTCGTGTTCTCGATGGTCGAGTTCCTGTTGACGTTGGACAACTGGCCGAGACAGAACCTCGCCGAGTTGTTGCGGGGATCGGTGAAGCCGTCGACTATGACCGAGGGCGACTGGCAGTGGAAGACCTCGCCCACGCGGCAATTCAGCTCGTAGTAGGCTATCGAGGCCCAACAGGTTGGCTCCTGGTAGGGCACGGGGGCCACGTCTTGGGGACTACTCACGTCCATCGACATCATGGAGTTGGGGGAGGGCGACTGGCCGTATTGGGAGCCGTCCTCCGAGGGCGAGTACGCGGGCGGTGGTGTCTCGGAAAGGCCGTTGTTGCTCTGGGCGTAGGGATTGTGGTGGCCGTTGCCGGCGGCCGCGTTTATCGGGCTCGAGACGGCCGAGGAGCCGCTGTACGCGGACACGGGCGACTGTCCACCCGGCTCCGCCGTGCCGTTCAGGCCCGCGTTGAAGTCGTTCGAGTAGTACGACATGTTCTGGGGCATTGTGGTCTCGCTGTGCTGCTGGAAGGTCATCGGTAGTCTACCGGGCGCGAACTCCGAGTGCCTCGGCACCAGGACCGGGGGTAGCACGGGACTCTCGACGCGCTTGTAGTGATACGGGTTGATGCAGACCTCTTTCTGTTTGGCCGAGAACGGGTACTGGCAGACGTCGAGGGGCTTGAGCTCGTGGTGCGACTGGAGGTCCGGCCAGCGCCAGACTCGGCAGTAGATCACGTGGGGCAGGCCCTTGCGGTGGGACACCTGCAACCTGCCGTCGAGGCTGCGGGGTATCGTTATGCACTTGCTGGGCAGGCCCGGGTTGCTGACCGCCCGCTCCAGCTCCTCGACCGCGCCTTTCTTCTTTTTCAGCTTCTTCACCAGGGACTCGACCGCCTTCTCCGCCCATTTCTCGTCCTCGTCGCCTTGCTTCCAGCCTAACAAGACAAAAAAAGCACCAGGTACACGTGAGTTTTGTTGAATTTTTCGTGCCATATACATAGTTCATTTATATCGTGATGTGGATTGTATACCTAGGAGCTTCTTCACGGCCGGACTGGTGAAAGAGAACAAGTTGTTGAGGGAAGCCATGGGTCCCGATCTGTGTCGCTCCTCGCCGTCCATTTTTATCCCTCCAAAATCGTCACCTTACCGGAGCCAGCTTTCCACCTCTGATTATTTCCTGCAATTCACACGCACTTATTGTACAAAAAATCATGTGCACAATAAGAAAAAAAAAAAAAAAGATCCTTCACAAGCTCCCAGGGGATAAAAGCCATGGTGAGATTAAGACCTTGTGTACGTATACAACTCAAAAGGGAGAGAAGAAACAAAAAATTGCGAGGGCAAAGCAAAAAGAGGTCGAATATCATAAAAGTAATATTTTACGTACCCACCGAACGCGCGAAGATGGAGCTATTTTGGCACGGCTATCGAGTGTACACGATCAACGGGCGCACGTACTATCACTGTAACTTTTGGTGCAGGTCTTCGACGTAGCAAGCAGTAGCAGCGGCAGCAGTGGTCATTAGTGCTGGAACGCAATCAAGAGTCCATAAGCGCTTCCTCGAACCCGCTCCTCTGCAGTTGGCCTGTAAACCGATAACATACCAGATCCACTCCGTGTAATGTGGGTATATACACACATGCACCTTGTATACGACGTATACGAGGAGATTTATCGACTCGAAAACCCGCAACACGAGCCCTCGTGAGTTATTTTTTACTGCACTGAGCAAAAAAAAGAAATAAACAAAAAAAAAAACAAGATTTATAACCAACCGATTTGCCGATTTTTTTTATTTGTGGATCGACTCGCTTTGGAGGTACATGGGATACTTTTTCAAATTAGGGTGCGAGACAAGTGTCACCGAAGATAGAAAACAGTATTATCTGTATTAACCGAGCAGCAGAACGTACCAACTGATTCTCTGGCCGATGTTTGCCAATAACATATAAAACACACGATGAGAGAGGAGGTGGCGGTGGCGACCAAACTGGCCAAAGTGAGAGAAGGAAAGATAAACGTATATATACGTATACACATACACATACGGATTTCGACGTGCATGCATTCAGTGATACACGCTAAAAATAGACACAAGCATGCACACACATATATGTATATACGCGCGGCACAGGCATCATCGGATTGAGCTAAAGTTTGTACATATTACATACCGAACTTTTTTTTATTATAAGCTGAGATTGCAAATCGACAGCGAAACGATCTTTGACTTTTTACTTTACGTATTTCGTTTGGTACACGCACCAAAGTTAAAAAGACAACGGTACGTTAAATAGTTCACAAAAGTGGCTCGGCTACGAACATATTGGGTGTCTTTTACACGAATTATTTACGGTACGAGATAAAGTTCGACGCGACTATCTTTTTCCTGTTACTTTTTTTGTTTCCAACTACTCGGCGAACGATATTTTCCTCGATCGTCTTATCTCGCGAGCTCTAATGTCAACTAATACCCATTTTGTGCACACACAAGCCATATATTACACTTTTGACTGTTTGTCGCGTTGTTATTATCATATATAGTAATATCACGTTCCGTCGAGCGCGCATTTTTTTCGGCAGGTGTAATAGTCTGTTGTGTATAAGTGATTCCGGCTAATCGCCATTTCATCTATCACTTGTCAACAGTTTCGTGGACATAACGAATGTATATGTATATTTTACCCGTAGGGTACGGGTTGACGAGTTCGGTGAACAAGTAATTTTTTTTTTTTTTCCGACAGACTATACACACATTAGAACGCCATCCAAAGTTAGGCGCTCTGCAACGGAATTTATAAAGACGCGTATAAATAAAATAGGGCCACCACTAAACTGGCGTCCGTTGTCTTGTATGTTTATGTACGGGACAAAAGGGAAGCCTGCACTTATTCTCGGGCACTGTGTGCGTTTATTTAAATGTAGAAAAAAAAGAGATAAGCTTTGACAAAAGTTTACATGAAAAAAAAATAATGTAAAATAAATCCACTCGTAGACGTGGTGTGATAGTATCAACAATTGGGGACACTCACTCTGTGCACCGCGTCGGGCATCTATTTCTCCCTGAGAGTATGCAATGTACCGATCTTGTGTATCCCAACGGAGATACAAGTACCAGCTCTCTTTACCGATCAAAAGATCGAACAATGCGTATCATATGTATGTATATATGTACACAAAATAGGCGTATAGATATACAAGTATTGGGCATCTAGGATGCAGGTATATTATGTGTGTCGCGTACGAAAGAATTAAGAAAAGACGCGTCTCTCCCCCGCGCGTGTGCTTCACAGACGCGACTGCTATTGTACCCTGGCTCGGTGTATATACTTATACCTCGGAAACCGGAGTGGCGCGGCAGGCAGCGTTCCAACGGTGAGAGAGAGAGAGAGAGAGAGAGAGTTGCGAAATGAAAAACGCGCGCGCGGCCAATGAATCAACGCTTGTTATCGATGAGATTCTGTATAAGTACTCTATACACTTTGTAGAGGTATCAATGTGGCGTGATTTTTTTTCTCGGCTCGGCTGTTTACCGATTATTTACGTAGGGTGAATGGTAAGGAATACTGAATGCCTGTACTGGCCGATTGCCGCTTGGATAGCCATTGACGATCGATAGAATCGTGCGAGCGATTTGGGGCTTCTTCGCGAAGAATTGACAACAACGATAACGATTTTTGTTAAGCATATACCGATCCCTGAGGTCTTTATTCGTCCTTTGGTCTTTACTCGCTCGGGATCTTGTTTGTCGCGAAAGAAAAAGTTGGACAATTATAAGCGCCACCCTTCGTCGTGTAAAGGAAGAGAAAAAACAAAAAATCGGCAACCTGTTTATATTGCGTATAAACTTTGCGTCTCCCGCGCGCGCTATTTTCGCACAACGAATAAAATGACATATCCCTTGATTCTTTCTTTCCACGCACACACACATGTATACACACAAAAGTCAGTAAAAACACTATATATATATATATATATATATATATATATATATCAACAGGATTCCCAGGCATTAGCAACTTTTCGAAATCATTTCCAGGAAAAAGCCAAGAAGAGAAGGAGCTTGAACATTTTCAAGTGGATATATAAGTATATATGTATATATATGGCTCGAAAGTCTCAAGTGGGTGCATTATGTGTTCCAGCAGCAAGCAGCCTCCCAGGGGTCCCTGGCTGCTACATGCTGCACTACAAATATACACATTAAGTATATTACACCGTGAACCACACAGCGGCAAACGGAGGAGGAAGAATATCAGAGAGAAGAAAGCTGGCGTGGAAAATTCGCTCGCGTGGGCAGGAAAGGGCAGAGTGCAAGTAGCGAGGGGCATCGTTGTGGCAAATATCTCTCGGGTACACCTTGCGTATGGGTAACAAACATCGGTATGTACATATATACGTGGCTGGACGCGTCAAGCAAGGGGAGAGCCGTGAGGAACCTTGGGGACCTGACTGACGGGCAACAACGAAACATAAGAGAGAAGGATTCCTGAGGAGTGACTATGATATAGCCGAGCACGCGTGCGGAATATCGCTTAGAAGGACACGCTGCTGTTGGAAACTTGAATTCGCGCGCGACGAGGAAGCCGAGGAGATTGGCCTTCATTATATGTTATTTGTTGAGGTGTAAACAGAAGTAGAAGGGGAAAAAAATCGGTAGGATCTTTTTTTCGCCGGAGATCGGTTGGGTATATATGCAATGTATATCGGTATTTCGCTTGCCGATCGTTCTTCGTGTTTTTTTTATTTGTGTCCAATTATTACCTATGTACGCATGATTTTGCGATTATGATGTTCGTGCGCTGTCGCTTTAGGCGCTACTTCTACCTGCTTCTACATTTTCTTCTCTATTCAGCTGTATATATAGTAACCGATTTATTAGTGCGCACACTGCGGACGCACAGACGCACTTGTATCGTTTTCGTTGCCGTTTCACTGTTGGATGAACAAATGACACACAACGAAATATTAATTGTTGCAGATGGAATATAACAATAATGCCGATCTTCACTGGTAGGGAACAACGTCCGAACGATATTATATTTCCTTCCAACTATATGGGGCACACGCACAAGAGTGTATACAGTATACAACTGAACGATTACACACGGTGCACCAGAAAGCCGAAAAACGACTGCTGCAGGCAAGAAATCACGAGAGGAGAGCACAAGAAGTGTAGGTATATAAGCTGCACATATACCGACGGCGCCAAAGTGGCGAGGGGGGCAGTGCACCTATATAATACTCTCTCCGGGTGAGAACGAGAAGATGTAGAAGAAAAAAGAGAGCAGAGGGTCTGCCAAAGGAACCAAAACGTGCAGTGTTCTTTCTTTCCTTTGGTTTGTACCATCGACGTTTCCTTATATATACGAGTGGTTCCGCAAAACAATCAATAAATGCAATTCAAATGAAAAAATCTTTTTTATAGGCTCGCTTTGCGAGGAGAAAATTAATATTCATGACAATCAACATGGTTTTTCGGCAAATGAGTATCGAAAAACGTCAGAAGTATTGTTCGAAACTTTGCGAATCTTCCATTTGATGATCATCTTGTCTCTCTTTATTTTCACCGAAAAAAAAAAAAAAAAAAAAAAAAAATTAACAATGTAATTTGAGATGTCGGTGCCAATTGTGTTCGGACCCTATTTTCGGAGTCACATGGAGTGATGAAGTATGAAAATGTTCATCTCGAAACCATATTGGAAAATAAATACTTTGTTAAATTTATTTTTTGCGGAATCGCTCGTACGGACCGATGAACAGAACGAGGGAGTGAAGAAGACAAAAGTGCAGGCGCACGCGGCCGTTAAATCTCAACGGATAGGACACAATGTATAAGAAGGAGATCGAGGCGAGCTCGAGAGTCGAGAACCTTTTGTAGCAGGTACCTACATAAATATATAAGTTGGAAAGCTCATCCAAGTACCTATCCATAGCGATATAGTGTACAGATAAACAGCGTAGTATGGATTAAATGTAACAAAAACTTGAAAACGTTATTTTCACGCCGAATCTGTGTACTGTTGCGAGTAATATTTCCAATTGCAATTTATTTCACTCGAAATAACGTCTCTGATAATGAATAACCACAACAGAGAGTACGACATATTTTACATGTGGTTATCCGGAGACGTTGAATTTATCGTCATAGATATAGTGCTATGTACTCCGCCGATCGCAGCGCTGTCGTCGATTTTTGTTTCACGCCAGGTCCCTATATGCAGAGGGTCTAAGACAGAGAGCACCGTGGGGGTTTCATTATCCTTACCTGGTGTGCTGCACCTGTTGACTTTTTTCTTTTTATTTTTTTCAAAAAAAAAACAAAAAAAACAAAAAAAAAGCTGAAGTAAAGGTCATTGTGACGAGATGCGAGATCACCCCGGAGAGCAGAGAGAAAGAGAGAGTTTTTTTTTGTTACTCTCTGGTCGGTGTGTTTAAACATAACGTGTGTATAAGGTATATATACAACACGAGATGAGGAATTCGTTTCGAGGGGTAATAAATATCGACGGGGAGACGGGGGACCGCCTTTGGTTTTACGGAGTTTCTCTAATTGATACTTTATGGATGGTGTATACTGTACGACGTAGTGTTGCTCGGATGATTTATTTTTCCGTTTTTGCTCGGACGTTTTTCCTAATGTTGCACTCTCGAGTGCTCCTTTTGAGCATTGTGTGACTTTGAGCTTTATGTTATATTGTATGTTGCCTTTTTTTTTTCTAACGATTCGAAAACGCGCTACTCGAGATCTGCGACGATTGTCTCAAGCGGGTATTATATAAATATTTAGCAGAAAATCATTTTGAAAGAAAAAAAAAACGGTGCAATTCTAGATACGAAGGAATATTGTGTATCGAGAGAAAAAAAAAAAAAAAAATTATTGAAATTCCAGAAAAATTTACCATTTTGCACTATAAATCGGATAAAAATTGGTAATAATGGAAAAATTATAATTTTTAGCAGTAAAGATTATTGTTTTAACAGTTAAAATTATGGTTGAAAAAGTAAAAATTATGATACGAACCGTAAAAAAATTACTTATGCTGGAACAGTAAACTTTAAAAGGATCGGTTAAGTAGTAAATTTTAAATTCCCGCATAGAAATTTCAACTGTTCTAAACATAATTTACTGTGCGGAATGATATTTTTTGCTGGTATTTCTCTATATTTTTTTTTTTCTTTCAGTGCGGTTTTGATTAAAAATAAATAAAAAAAAAAAAACACAGGACAAGGGCCAAAGAGAATTTTATTCCATAGACAATGTGGTTTTATAGCACCAACGATATCGTGAAATCACCATCCGTCCATTATCGTGCACTTAAAAAACATGTAATATCTTTCGACATGTGTGCGTGTTAGATACACATCCGTGTACATTGTATGGATCTCGCCTTGTATTAACCATATTATATACGCATGCATCCAACACTGAGGCTGCCGACAAAAAGAAGGAAGGAGCAAAAATCAAAGGGAGAATATACGAGAGAATCCACGAAAAATATGCCGTTCTTGTCCCCCGTTTAAATAAAAATAATTCATTTGAGCCACACCTTCGAAATAGGGCTCATTTAACTCGCTATACTACGAGGACAAAAATTTCAACATTGGGTTCAAAGAGGGTGACACCCTTTTTGTTAAAATAATAAAATTACATCTATATATATATATAATTTTAACATGAAAAGATTTCGTGGAAAAAGAGTGTCATCACCCTTCACTGAAACCAGCAAAAATGTTAAAAAAAATTTTTCTCACAAAATACATGGCACTACGAGTAAAATGAGCCCAGTTTCAAGGGTGTGCCTCGAAAGATAATTTTTTCATTAAGATGGGAGACAAAAACGGGATGTTTTTTGTAGATTTTTTCATACACTTAAGGGGAAGAGAGAAAAAAAAATTTGACGCGTGATCTGCTTTTGAAAAGATACAATCTCATGTGCATCCGTACAAAAGAGGAAGCTTCATAAGTAGTGCCTCATGGGTATCAGTTTGGCTCGAGACCTGGCTCTTTGTATATCGAGTTTTCTCTTTTGTGAACACCTATATGTATACAAATATAGTTGCGGGTGAGTCTGCTCATCATCGCTTGTTTGCCTGGACCACCATGCACCCATATATATAGGTAATGCACCTCCGGCACATGCACATATATATATATATATACTTATATACGCTCTGCAGGAAACGAAGATACATAAAAATTTTAGCGCCCAGCAGGATATTATAATGGTCGATGCGATCTATGTAGGGGGCAAAGGACAGAAAATGAGGAAACGTTATGAGCTGATGGATCCACACGAGCGCGAGATGAGCTATGGAGGAGGAGGAGGATCATCGGGAGCATATTTACGGCACGTACATCTGGCGCACAGCTTTTTTACTTGCTGAGCAAAAAGCGTCCTGTATCGCACGCGTGTGATTTATGTTTTAGTTGGTATATGCCCATTTACTTTCTATCTGTTTTTTTTTTTTTTTTTTTTTTTTTTTTTTTTTTTTTTTCTGATGGAAGCAATTCCCCATATACTTGTGAAATTGTCCTTTTTAAATTTGATTAACGCATTTCGATGAGATAAGAATTTCTTTTCCTTTTTTTTCTCGGTAAGTCTAATTGTGTTGATTGCATTTAGGTGATGGTTGTTGGTGCGTTTCATCGCGTGATAACATATACTTTAAATACATGATGATAGGAACACATGCTTCTAAATCCTTGTAATAAAATTTAAAACTTTTGCATATGATATTATAATGTTTTGTGTTAATCCCAATATTTTTCTCGAAGTACTTGTTGATTTTGTATTGGGAGGGTATATCAATCGTTAGGTCGTACTTGGAAGGTTTCCCAATCGTCGAAATACATTTGCAGGGTTTCTCGGTGGTTGAGAAATATTCGAATGGTTTTTCGATCGTTAAGGAGTACTCGGGGTGTTTCTGGATCGTCAAGAAGTACGCGGAGGCTTTCTCGATCATTAAACGAGCGGCCATGCAAAAACTGCGTTTATACAAAAGATACAAAAAGTTACACTTTTCAAAGATCTATGAGCTTTACACTAACTTTGTAATCTGAATTGTAAATAAAAAAAAACGAGTATAAATATGTTAAATACAAAAAAGTTGTGTTTCGACGAGATCTACAACTGTCGCGATTAGTTTATTACCTAAACGGCAAAAAAAAAGTTGGATAGGAAAAAACGACAATTTATATTCATTTGACAAGCACTTTTCGGCTCATAGATTTTGGCTCGTATGGGTTATATCCTAGGTCAAAATTTTTTATACAAAGACGTTGCATTTCAATAAGATCTACAACTTTTACATTTAATGTTACAATTCTAAAGTATAAAACAAACAAGTTAGATGGAAAAAAACTTTTTTTTTGCGGTTTTTGAGCACTTTTTGGCTTTTATTCTGGACGAAAAGGTTAAATACGAAAAAGTTGTGTTTAACAATATCTACCACTCTGTGACAACAAACCTCAAGAATATATCACATAACGAAGTTATCATCGAAAAACTGTTTATTTTTCTTTTTTTTCATTGATATAGTCCTACTATCTTGAAATTACTGCCACATTTTTTCTAAAACAGGAAACCTTGCCGATTTCAGACCATCACGTTAGACGTAAAAGACGAAGCTCTCTGCCAAATTTCTGAGTATCAGTCGTGCCTAATAATACACAGATTGTTTCTTGATCGTTAAGGAATACTCGAAGAGTTTTTCTATTGGTAAGAAATTCTAAAATTGCTCATTGATGGATCGAAAACAGTCAAAGGGTTTCTCCATGGTTGGCACAAACTAGGATGTTTTTATGATCGTCGAGAAACCCTCGTTCAAAAGTTTTCTTGATCGCTGAAAAGTAGGGTAGTCTATTTTTATTATCGTCGAGAAATATATAGTTTGATGGTTTCTTTATCGACAAATAATACTTACCAATGGTCCAAAAAATTGGGAGGGTTCCTCGATCGTCGAGAAATACTCAGAAATTTTATCGATGGACTAAATACATTTGAAGGGTTTCCCGATGTTCGAAAAATACTTTAAGGGTGTCTTGATTGTCACGGAATACTTAAAAAAATTTCTCAATGGTCAAATAATTCTCAAAGTGCTTATCGGCGTTCCAAAAACATTGGAAGGGTTTCGCGATCGTAAAGAAGTATTTGGATACCATAAAAATATCTCACACAAAATTTCAGATCGTTACACCGTACCTTTTTTCACACATACATTATTTTTGAAAAATCTCAATTCAACATATGTAGACCCAAAGAAAGAATCACGTAATATTGCATTTAAGTTGTAAGAAAATGATCTGTAGGGATCTCCTAATTTTTTTCGGATGAAAGAATTCTATTACAGATAAACACTATATTGGATTTTCAAATGGATTAAAAAGTTGGTTTTTCAAAGAAAAGTAAGAGAAAAACGGGTCGGGTACTTATGCGTAAACGCAGTCGGTACATCCATATTATTATTGGATCAAAACAATCAAAGACACATGCATAGCAGACGGAAAGTCGTGCATATGCATCACGCGCGCACGTGCATCACACTGCAGCGTCAGAAAAAACGTGTGTTGAAAAAAACGTAAACTCACGTTAGCAAGACAAGCGATAATTATACTAACGCTATAGTGAATATAACGTTAAACCTGTGCATAAAAAAACCAACTCTACAATCAACAATGTGGTTCCGTCATTCTTTTTAATGGTTTATGGAAAATTGAACATCGAGTCGGTCGAGCCAGACGATCACTCTGCTAGTTTCCACTGAGCCGTTTGCTTTTATTTTCCTCCAGTGCACACTTCGAGCTTTCTTTTATTATCGTTTTTAAAATAAACAAGCAGCGCTTGGTTACAGTTATAAAAACGCGGGCTAGGTTCGTTTGGGGACTTTGGGGCTTAGCTTGGAGCAGCTCCTCCGAGAGCGCCTCCGAACTTTGCTCCAAAACACGCGTTTTGTGCTCCGAACTCATCGGAGCGACTCCGAGCAAATTCCTACTGTTGGTATATACCTATATTTACTTATGGCCAAGACGTAAATATTTATGTTGCAAAGACCGTAAATATAAATATACCAACTGTAGGAATTTGCTCGGAGTCGCTCCGATGAGTTCGGAGCACAAAACGCGTGTTTTGGAGCAAAGTTCGGAGGAGCTCGGAGCTGCTCCAGGGTGTGTTCCAGTAACGCTCTCCGACAACTTAATTATGTCTTAAGATATCTTGCGTCATGTTTAAGTTGTCGGTAAGTTGTCGGAGAGCGCTACTGGAACACACGGCCAAGCTAAGCCCCAAACGAACCTTGTATGTCTATGAACATACCTACACATGCGTAATCCCCGATCCCCGATTTTGGCCGATTGCCCGATTCCCACATTCCCTGCATAAGTGCATGGGCCTGTGTGGTACTTATAACATATTGACATAGGCACACACGGTGAAAAAAAAGTTATTGAATACTTACCACCACCCCTGACATTAGATTTGTTATTTTTTGTGCGATTAAGGTGTTCGGAGCGCTCCAAACAACTCCAAATTCCCTAGAAGAACCATTGAGGCGTATATCTATATTTACAGTCATACAGATATACACCTGATACACCTCTTGATCATCATTACCAACCCAGAGACTAGTACGGGCACTAAGGGCAGTTGGGCAAAAAGAGAGTAGTATAAGATTATTAGTTGATGTTTAGAAGGTAGTAGAAGTAGGAAGCAAAAAGCGGAAGGAGATGAAGGCCGAAGAGAAGTTGATCTTCTCCAAGATCGTGCAGCACCTGGCCAGGTCGCTAGCTGCAATCAATGACACACCCTGGGAAAAGGTCAGTTCATTTTCATTTGTACAAATTAAATTTGTTTGTTATGAAGCCGAGGTTATGATTATCTGTCAAATGAGTGGGATGCTGTCATGTGTTAAAAATAGAGTATGATCTGGAGCACGGTGTTTTGACTGATTATTTACAAGTTAAAAGTTTTAGAAAACGATGTGTTTCCAAGTAGTGATCGAGGTTTTCTTTCAGGTCAACTGGTTGTTCAAAAGATGCCCACAAGAGATGGGTGGTATATTCAGGCTGGACCAGAGAGGCCAAGATGCCACTATTGCACTTGGCATTTATTTTCTCGAGTCTGGGCTACAGCATCGGGAAAAAATTTTGCCCTATTTGCTAAAGCTACTCCGAGGATTGCCCAAAGCCATGTGGCTGGACGAAAATCCATGCGTACCCCTTGGCAAGATACCAGTTGCGGAGCGTTTTAGTTTTTGTTTGAATACTCTACTGACTGACATTGCTGCGAGATGTGAGCCAGTCAGGGAGGAGATTATTGCCTCCCAGGTGGAGATTCTTGCTGCTCTGACCAATCTGATCAAAGGCAGCATTGATCAGAGCAATGGTAGAGCTATGCAAGTGAAACGTAGGTCAATTCTCTACTTGTTTATGTAATCTTTGTCATTAAGTTGTGAGTAATTATGGTTTTAATTTTTTTTCAGTCACATTGTGCAAGTGTTTGGTTCCAATACTAATTGGATTGGCAAGATCTATGGGTAGGTTTGCCTATGAGGGTCAGCCACTGCTGTGCAGGATATTTCCTAGACCGGAGCCACCAATACCAGAATGCAAGACGGATTGCCATCCTTTGCCCGAGAAGAAGCGTCACGCGTTTTCAAACTTTCGGTCGATTATTCCGCGTTCGTTGAGTAGTGACTTGAATCCCAGATTAAACACAAGTAACAATCAGCCTGGTTTTATTCCCACTCACGAAGCATCTGTTACGAAAAGGCCACTGTTAAAGTCATACCTATCCGTGCCGTACGATCCTACAGAATATTTTTTCAATCGCTACGGGTCTAGTTTTAATCAGTTTCCTCAAATGAGGTGCAATGAGACTACAGGCAGAGCAGGCTTGCAGTTTAGCGTGGTGCATTTGCAAAGTGTTCTTTCACTCGCAAAAAAGTTACTTACTAAGGAAACCTTGACTTTTCTAGATGAGGAGGCTCAACAGGTAATTTTTAAACATTTACCACAACTATTTTGACTGTAAGCTAAAACTCTAATTTTATTACAGGTTTATTTGTCGAGACAAGTACAAATTTTTCCATATCGTACCTTTAGCGAAACCATGAACTTAGTGATGGTAGCTCTCCTGCGCGAGCTTCTTCAAGGTCAGCGTGACCTGCCGGCTCCATTTACGCGAGACGTGCAGGAATTCATGAAGGGTTTATTTTTGTCTGGTCAAACTGAACTACAGTCGAGGCAGCAACATTATGCTAGCGAGAGAGAAGATACGGACACGGATCACAAAACTGTCAACAGATTTAAAATGAACGTTATGGCGAATTCCGCTTGCGTGGATATTTTAGTTTGGGCTATTGGTGATGAAACTGGTGAGTAACTTTTTATTTGACACAGTTTTAACTTGATGTAATTTTAATATGGCATCGAAAAGGTGGTGAAGGTGTACAGTGTAACGTTTCTGTGTCCACGTCTAATGTACATAATTATACAGTTGTTATTAAAATCTAATTCAAGGTGGTACTTAATTAAAATTGTCGTAAATATATTTGTATGTGCTTGCGACTATCTATTTCGTTATAACTCATTGTGCATAAAATTGATAATCTATATCGGATTGTGTAATGTTTTTCCAGTAAAGGGCGAGTACGATCTGTCTGCGCTTTTTGCAGATCTTCACTCGATGCTGATAGGCCCGGGTATCGGAAATAAATCACTTTTAGTGTTTTCAAATTTTTTTTTTTTCTTTTTTTTTTCTTTCTCCTTGTAGTTGCTTAATCCAAGTACAATCGAAAGCAAATAACTGTTGTCAGTTACTAACAGCAAGTACGATTTTGTGAGTAGTAGGTAACAATTAAACCCGATTGCGGATTGATTTCCTGAAATTAACAAACGTGTGCGTTTGCAGTACAACTAATTTTAATTCATCGAAACAAAGATGCGGTTTTAAGCTAAAAAACGAATATAATCGGCTGTAAATCATCGTAGGAGCCGATAGCTTATGCAGTCGATTGACGGAAAAGATATACTCGAACTACAGTCACAAATTGGTTCTGGCACACATGCCCCTTCTAATGGTCTGCCTCGATGGTCTCGGAAAGCTTGCTCAGAAATTCCCCAACATCGCCACTACCTCGATTTACAATCTTCGTGACTTTCTGGTGACGCCATCGCCCATACTTTTGAAACTTCACAAACAATGCTACGAACAATCGCGGAATCATTTCAAAGTCACGGTAAAGGACGTTGAAGTGGGATCCTCGAGGGAGAGATCGACACCCATGGAAATGGCATTCGAGACTCTGAGAGATGCAGCAATCAGAAATCTCTGCATAGCTTTAGAGGCTGCGTACTCTGTGGATTCGGACTGCGTGCCCGCGCTGGTTGCGAGCGTATCAAATAGATTGTTTACCGCAGAGAAAAACGACAGGTAAACATCTCAGTTTGAATTGTCAATTTTATCTGTTGATTGGACAAAAGCTGGATTTTTAATTGTTTGATTTGTTTTATCAAGGGCGCAAGATGATTTGAGCGAGAACGAAGAGAAACTGACGAGCGATCTCATTTCCACCAATATTGTTATTATGATGGGTCACGTGGCAGTGGCCTTGAAAAATAAACCAAAGTCAACTCGACCAATACTACAGTTTTTCCAGCAAAGATTTTGTCACTCGCCCGGTCGTCCGGATTTAGATACTCTCATAGTCGATCAGCTTGGCTGCATGGTCATAGCTAAATGTGAAGCAAAGGTGAAATTTCTTCAGTTTTTTTTTTTTATTGGCAAATCCTATAAATAATAAATGAATAATTAAATTTGTTTCTCCTTTACAGGTGCACGAAGAAATAATGAAAATGTTTGCTCTCACTTTAGCTTCGAATGACGATCGCAAGCAATATCGTCACGTCTGCGGTGCAGTGACAAATGCTTTGGCCAACATAGCAGCTAATCTCGAAGGTGAAACTGAACTGAACAACCTGCTGCTCAGGCTCCTTGAGCTTTTCGTTCAAATTGGCCTCGAAGATAAACGAACATCCGACAAAACTAATAACAACATAGCAACGGTAATATTTCAATAAGTTTCTCATCAGTCATATCAGTTCATTAAACATTTTTCATGACAATATTTTTGTTTTAGCGGTCGAGAAGCAACGCTGGCAACCTCGGTGTTTTGATACCCATACTGGCGATCTTACTGCGCCGGCTACCACCAATCACCAACCCACGGCATCGCGTTTTCAAATTATTCAAAGACTTTTGGTTATACTGCGTGATACTTGGTTTCGCGGATCCAAATCCAAGGACGCGACTCTGGCCAGCAGACTGGCACGAGGCTGTCAAAGAAATCGCCGTCAAGTCGCCCTACCTCGTATCTCACAGTTCGCGTATCGAGATGCGTGAGCTTCAGTACACATCGGTCGTGCGCAACGACGGCATATCAATAAACGAAGTGCAAGAGCTCAGGAGTCAAATTCTCAAATTGAACAACAGATCCAGCGAAATAACGACGTACGTGTCGAAGTTGCAGTTTGCTCAGTGCACGTACTTGCTTTCCGTTTACTGGTTGGAGACGCTACGAGTGGCAAACAGCCCGGAACCGAGTCTCCAGCCGATTATGGAGTATTTGAGCGATGCGGAAATACAGAAGGATAAAAACGGCATGTGGCAGTGCATTTGCAGCGTCGGTGATTCGGTCTTTGCTAAATTCAAGGACGTGATGCAGCGAAAGCCTAAGAACGAGCAGCGCGAACGCGAGCTCGAAAGTCACGCGATGTTTCTACTCGTCAACTTCAATAACGTGCACAAGCAAATCAGACGAGTTGCTGACAAGTACCTGAGTGCGCTGGTGGACGCGTTTCCGCACCTCTTGTGGAACTGTAGGGTCCTCTGGTACATGCTCGATATTCTGCAGGCGCTGTCGTTTTCATTGGATCTCGATCCTAACGAAGAAACACCCGTGATTAAGGTTGCTGGCATGCCTTTTGGTATTCAATTGATGGAGAGCCTCGATGCTAGAGAGGTATGTGTACCTTTGATTTCCTAGTTTTTTTTTTTTTCACAATTAATATATTGCACAAGTAATACTCGTTATAAACACCTTGCAGAGTATCGTCAAAGACTTTACGCTGCGTTGCAAAGGCATCGTCCAAGAGGCAATGAAGTGGGCTCCGCAAGCTACGAGATCGCATCTTCAGGAGTACATAAAACACCTGCAATCCTCAGAGGAAGCATACCACGCGAGCCTCGCTCTCGACACAGATTCAGTCCTTGAGCTTGTAGACCTCACTGGACCAAGCTCTACCGTTGGTCCATCAACTGTAAGCAATGGTTTTCATAAAAAAATTAAAAAAAAATAGTTCTAGTGTGTTTATGTCCTAATACGAATATTAATTACAGGGTAACTCACTTGACAAACGATTAAAAGCCAAGGGCCATTTGTTGTCAATGATGACGACTCGCTCGTGGTATGCCGGCGAGGTAGCCGGAATGCTGAATCTCGTAAAAAGCGAATCTTCCATCAAGGATCAGCAACGCAGTGATGAAGAAAACGCGAATACTTTGGTTAACCGATTGATGGACGAGCTCTGGCGTGCCTGCCGTAACAAGGACGAGAATGAGCACCGAAGCGCTCTGTGGCGGGCCACGGCTCTACTCATATCGATACCGGGTATCCATAGACGGCTGTTGCACACGGTCGCCTGGTCCCAAGTCGAGCTCTTCTCCAAGTCAGCGATGACTGCCGCTGTGGAGTGCTGGCAGTGGATCCTGACCGCACGATCGGACCTGAAACTTCGTTTCTTGCAAGAGATGCTCGCGGCGTGGCAGTACACCGTTGACAAGCGATTGGGACTTTTCTCGGTGGACGAGGAACAAGTTAGTCCCCTGGCGGTGTACGAAGGATGCCAGCTAGGGCCTAAACCGCCTATGATCAAGCCACACGAAATCTGGGTATCGTTCATCATTGAGATCGTCGACACGGCGAAATATTGCTGCCAAGAGAGCGTGGAGATGGTCGCTCTTTTATTACACCGCTCGTTACCCATGAACGTTGGTGCTAACAACGAAGAGCCTCAGCTAAGCCGCCACGTGGCTGCCGTGGGCGCGCGTTTCAAACTTCTCTCCCTGGGTCTATTGCTGCTGCAGGGGGACACACTACCCAGATCGTTGAGTAAAAATGTGCTGCGCGAACGCGTCTACTGCAACTGCCTTGATTATTTCTGTCGCGAGAGGCAAACGCCTACTCAAGAGTTGGATCAGCTAAGGGAGAACATCGGCACGTTGATCAGGTTCTGGCAGGCCATGCACAGCGAGAAAAAGTACTTGATGATGACGAGCGGCGAGGCCGAGCTTGAGCTCGTCAGCCACGAATCACTCGGCTCATCCGGTACAGCAACTGGTAACGAGCTCGCGAAATCTCCTGCATCCAGTTGGATCAACACGTTACCTCTGTCGGCAAGTAATAACACGCTGAGTAAACGGAGTAATCGCAGCAAGAGGCTGGCCACGTCGACAGTCTACGTCAAGGATTACATTAGAAAGCGTAACCTTATTCTCGAGCTCCTGGCCGTCGAAATCGAAATGCTACTCGTGTGGGCGAATCCGGGAGGTAGGCAGGACCTCGCAGTTCCCGGTGAACAAAGTATAGCAGAATGGCGAGCGAAATCTATGAACGACCGTTGGCGCGATTACACACGACTCGCTTGGGAAATCAGTCCAGTGCTGGCAGTTTTTCTTCCGGTGCGACTCAAGAATTCTGACATTATTATTCGCGAGGTCTGTCGACTCGTGCAGCTCAATCCTGTGCCGGTGCTACACGTAAGCGAGGCCTTGCAGTATCTTGTCACCACCGAGACCTTGCTCAACGACGCACCAAAGGTACGGTTTTTTTACAACTTCCAAATCATTCATCTTACCTTTTAAATGGTAATAATAAAAAAAAATGATTTCTTTACAGTTGGTCTACATGTTGACATGGGCGAGATGCTCGCCAATCCAGGCCTTGGCTTACTTTTCGAGACAGTTTCCGCACCATCCGATTTCCGCGCAGTTTGCTGTCAACGTATTGGAGAGCTACCCCGCGGATGCTGTGCTATTTTACATACCTCAGCTCGTGCAAGCGGTCCGTCACGACTCGATGGGCTACGTTACGGAATTCATAAAAGCGATAGCTAAGCGATCGCAGGTCGTGGCACACCAATTAATCTGGAACATGCACACGAACATGTACATGGACGAGGACAAGCAGGTGAAGGATCCGAATTTATTTGATACATTGGATGCTCTGGTGAAGAACATATTAAGTGCACTGTCTGGGCCAGCTAAGCAATTCTATGAACGAGAATTCGACTTCTTCGAGAAGATAACGAGTATATCTGGCGAAATCAGACCGTATCCCAAAGGACCCGAACGTAAACAGGCTTGTTTGGATGCATTGCGCAAGATAAAGGTACAGCCTGGCTGTTATCTGCCTTCGAATCCTGAAGCTATGGTTATCGACATCGATTACAACAGTGGTACGCCCATGCAGAGCGCTGCAAAAGCACCGTTCCTAGCAAGATTTAAGGTTCAGCGATACGGTATCAAGGAGCTAGAAAATATTGCTATGGCTGTGTCGGCAAACGGAAACGCTGAGGTCAACAATGCTGGGGAAGAGACCTGGCAGGCGGCCATCTTCAAAGTTGGGGATGACGTGCGTCAGGATATGCTAGCTTTGCAAGTTATCAGTATTTTCAAGCACGTATTCCAGCAAGTCGGTCTTACCCTGTTTCTGTTTCCGTACAGAGTCGTCGCCACTGCTCCTGGAGTAAGTTTGCTATCTGGCCATTGGTTATTAAGATAATTTCACCCAATTGGTTTTTTTTAATCGATTTTGTTTTGCCTTCCAGTGTGGTGTGATAGAGTGTGTACCGAATGCCAAATCACGCGACCAGCTCGGCCGTCAGACCGATTACGGCATGTACGAGTACTTCCTGTCCGTTTACGGCGACACGACGAACAAGAGTTTCCAAAAAGTTAGGCGCAATTTTGTCAAATCGATGGCGGCTTACAGCGTCATAACGTACCTTCTTCAGATCAAAGACAGGCATAACGGAAATATCATGATAGACGAGGAAGGCCACATAATACACATTGATTTTGGTTTCATGTTTGAAAGCTCGCCAGGTGGTAATTTGGGCTTTGAACCCGATATCAAGCTCACCGACGAAATGGTACTAGTCATGGGTGGAAAAATGGAAGCTGCGCCCTTCAAGTGGTTCATGGAGCTGTGTGTACAGGCTTTCCTTGCAATAAGGTACGTGTACATGTATAAAATTCCCTATAAAATGTTTATATAAAAAAAAAGTTACACGTTACTAATGAAAAATATTATTCAGGCCATACCAGGAAGCCATCATATCCTTAGTATCTCTGATGCTGGATACAGGTCTTCCTTGTTTCCGCGGACAAACAATCAAACTTTTACGGAGTCGATTCGCGCCTATGGCCACTGACCGCGAGGCCGCAATTTTTATGTCGAATGTCGTTAGGAACAGTTGCCTTAACTTCCGCACGAAGACGTACGACATTATACAGTATTATCAAAATCAGATTCCTTATTGAAAATATAAAGCTCTGGACGCGGAGTTTTGCTTGTTACTGAACCATAAACACATACGATTATTTTTCTCGGCTGCGAGAAGCCAATCGACGGAGATGTTGTTAATGTGAGATATAATATATTATTGACGGAGCTGTTGAAGATGTTACAGTTATTATTTTTCTTCTTCGTTATAGTTTCTAAGTGTTGGTGTGCTTTGGATGGAACAAAAAAGTCGGCAGCATTTATCTTTGTAAATGTAAGATACTGTACATGTAGTTGAAAAAAAAAAAAAAAAAGAAATTAAAAAATGGAGTACTTAATAATATATTAACATTCCTTTATCGTATAGTTTAATTTGCGAACTGTTGTTGGTTAAAGATTATAAAATAAATTAATTATTTAAGCAAAAAGTACAGTCTCTCTCTTAAAGATTATTCCTCTACCTACCATGTGGCCACTGATGCTTTTCTCGCATCCCAACTTTTCAAATCCAAACATTCGATCGTCACCGTCATTCATCCTACATGGGAATCCTACGCGGCACACTATCCGTTCCTGCTTTCAGCCCGTACCTTCTTTTTTGTTTTTTTTTGTTATATCCCCATCCAACCTCAACCAATTTCCTGCCAAATAAAAAAAAAAAAAAAAAAATTTACCTGTACTGAAACTTTGTCAAAATTCCCAAGTAAGTCGCTCGCTCCGAAATTGCTTGCACACGTTACACCGTACTTACAGGTATTAAACGAAAAAAAAAAAAAAAAAAGGGAAAAATTCAACTCTCGGCAAACATGTGCGACCTGATGCCTCCGTCGTTCCACGAGATACTCCAGGACGTCGAGTCCTACGTAGCTCTGCCGGTCCTCGTGATAATCGGCTTGTGCATCCTCCAGTTCGTCTTTTGCCAAATGTTCCAAATCATATGCACCATCACCGAGATAATGAAGCGCAAGGAGAAGTGCAAGCCAAAGCGCAAACCCAAGTGCCCACCCGGGCCGAGTTTGATGGAACGGCTCAAAGGTAAATATACTTATATTTGACGAGACCAGAATATCAAACGTTGATTTATCATTTCACTTTACCGGGTGTGCCCTTTTGGATTTTCAGGAATGTTTTGCACAAGACGGGAAAAGTGCGGCAGCAAGAAACCAAGGGCGTCGAAGCGTATCTTACTAGATGAAATAAGCGAGAAAAAGTTCGACGATTGGGACGATAACGTAGAGTACGACGACGACGACGAGCTCATGGACGAGAATTGAGATTCTCCTCTTACCGATCAGCCCCCAACAACTACTTATTATTTTAATGTATCTGTTTGCTTCGAAGTGGTTTTAAAAGCTGACTTTCGTCAATGTAAAATCAGAAAGTGTGAAATAATTTCGTACTACGTATCGTTTGTTGAATATGTACTTGGATAAATCGGGTGATTCGGTAAAGATTATTTTGACCAGCGGATATAATAAAAATGTACGCCTTTGTAATCGATCTGGCTCTATACTTTTTACATTTGGAGTAAGACGATGCAAATTTACGATACATCGGCGCTCTTTGGATTAGTGCAGCCCTAAAAGTTAGTTTGGCTGAAAAGTTATTCAACCGATTGTTGTATAATCTTCTAACAGTATTATATGCATATATACATGTACAAATATATGTGTATATACATGTGCCATATATAACGCAGTCAATTAATACCATCATTTAATTTATATTCAACCCGAAGCATGAAATTAATGTATAAAGAGTCAGAAGCATTAAATCGATAAAATAAACATTTTACAACGTGTAATGTGTATTACTTGAAGTACCGCAAATGTGCTCCAAAACTCATTAGAGCGAATGAAATGGATGTATATATTTATATGAAATACAACAATGCAGTGTATTAATTGACATTGACAATCACAAAGAAGCATAAGTACATATTTTTTATATCAGCTTGAGTTTTTAATCTGGAACGCAAACAGGAAAAAAAAAGGAAATATAGTACACATTGGACGAAAACTGCGGTGAGAGAGCAAAAGGAAGGGGGGGACAAAAGAGACGTGTGCGGTGCACCCTTATCTATACACTGCGGGCATGTTGGCATGTATATATAGGTATATATGGAACAGAAAACTTGACGCGACGGGACGGCACTGCACCGTCGCGCAGATCTCTGACAACGGCGTCCTGACTTTTACAACTCTAACCTTTTTTTCATTCCCTCCGTATTCTTTACAGTCGTTAATTGTTAGTTTTCTCATTTTTTTCCCCCCTTTCTTTGTGCTATTTTCAGGGGGTAGGAATAACATGCAATGTAAGTACTATGCACTATAACCAAACATTTTTCTTTTGACAGCAGTGCAATTGATTCCTCAGGGTGGACGCGACTCGGGCCGGTTTTTTTTCGGAGTTTCGGAGCAGGATTGTGTTTTTTCGCAAATCTCATGTAGCGCATACTTATACTTCGGTTGTAATATGAGATATGAGCCAGCTATAGCTTTACTGCATTCATTTTTTAAATGGTTTATAAACAAAGTATTCGTTTGATATCGGGTACGTTTAACAAAATAGAAAATGAAAGTGCTGTGGATTAATTTTCTACGTGATTTGTTGTGGCTAGCTGTGACTTCTGGACTTAAAAGTGAACATTTGGTAGTTAGTGATGACTTTTAGATTCATATCGCCAAGAAGTACGATAATTAGTATAGAGTTTCATTTAAGATTGCTCAAAGTTAACTCCGCTTGTGAGTGTGTGGGACCCCGATGATGGGAAACAGTGTGTGTTCATGTGAATGTGCACAAAACCGATTATCTGAGAGAGTAGCTGAACGCGTATTTTTAGAGTCGTGAAAAAATAATGTATTGGAATTAAGCAGATCGATAACGTCTTTAAATAAATATAAACAAAGATGTTTAAGGCATTAAAAGAGTTTTTTTTTTCATTATTATACTGATCTGAAGGTCGCTGCAATTGCAGTTATACAAAGCTATAGTTCAGCGTGAATGTTTTTTTCCCAATTTATTTATTTATTCAGTCAAGGGGCCCAAGGCTCATTTATTTACATATAGGTTTATTACAAGAGATGGTCAGCATTTTTGTGCCGGGCGTCGCGTTTATATTTCATAAAAACTTATCAAGTATGTGTGATTTGTTTTACAGAAATGCGGCAACAATGGGGTACGGTAAATTAAAGTTTGGCACTTTTTTAACAGTGGTAGTAGTCCTCTTGGCTATCTACTACAGGAGTTCATATGACGTGCTACAACAGAAATTACACTCTGTTTTGAAGGCTCTTGAAAATTTGGAAGATAAATATAAAGTTCTTCCAAGGCCAAAAGTTGCTGTTGGCTATGGGATATGCACTGACGTTTACGTCGAGGCTGGAAGCCTTTTGGAATACACGGACGAAATGGGGCAGCCTCAGCATTTTGACGAGATCACCACCAAGGAAGAGCTTCTCAAGAGCTTTGCTTATTATTTTCGACATGGAGCAGCAGCCGAGTGAGTTTTAATATTTGCAACGTATTGTAATCGCGAGAGAATTTTATTCTTCTTCATGTATTACTTTAATTTTTTTATTTTCAGACGATTCATGTCGAACTCCTCTCTATTTGATATGCTGGTAGCAGAGGCTCGCTCTTTTCCAAAATACTATTCTACTATAGGAGGTAATGCGGCTACCATGGCTATGAGGCTGGTAAAAGAAGGCTGTGATGTTGCGTTAGCGGCAAAAATGACAGATTCTTTGAGACAAATGATACCTGAAGCTATTGAGGTAGTTGGAGACGAAGTCGACAGAGATGATATACATTTGGTTCTTGAGTATAAGAGGGGAGAGACTTGGGGACCTTACAAAAGTCCCAGAGCAAACAGGTCATCATTTTATATTATTAATATTATTATTATTTACGCGATTTTGGCAAAAGTTATTATAACAATGGTTTGTTTTTTGCACAACAGGTATATTATACATAACGACAAGCATAATCCAGAAGCAAGTGGACTGGAAGATCTCCAAAAAATCCTGCCAACATTCAAACCTGATCTCTTAATTGTAAGTGGTATACAAATGATGGACAGTTATCCATTTGAAGAAGGCAAGCGCTTAATTCGTTTGAAAAAAATTCACGAACAAATGCGCAGTCAGCCTCAATCGACGAGAATCCATTTTGAAATGGCCTCTTTTGTCGAAGCTGATCTTGTCAAAGATCTAAACGAACTTATCGTTCCGTATGCTGACAGTTTAGGCATGAACGAGCAGGAGATTACGAACCTGCACAATTCACTTTATTACGGAAATATTTCACTTGTTGCAAATTCTACTCCAAGAGTAGCTATTGTTCTCGATCAGATACGTGAACTTTTCAAGCTCATAAGAACAAGAGGAGAGAGTATTAAAGGTGCCAGGACACTTACCAGGATTCACGTGCACACCCTGGCTTATCAGGCTATTTTGACTGTTAAAGGATCATCTTGGAAGAATACCATGGCTGCCGCAGCTAAAGCTTCCCTCACTGCCCATAGACATGTTTGTAGTACTAATCGGGTATGTAGATATTTAACTGTTTAAATTTTTTTTTAATCTTGGAACACTTATGAGATGTGAGGAATAACTAAAAAAAAAAACAAACAAAAAAAACAGTAGGTATAATGAAAAATTTCACTTTATTGTGTAAATTATAGGATTTTAATTTTTTTTCATTAATTCTAAATTAATTAAGCAACAACAAATATGTACAACTTCATCAACTTGCAAAAATAAGTCAGAAGGCATAGCTGATATAATTTTGAATGATCTGATTCTATTAATACATTGTTTAACACTAATATCTAAAGGATCTAAATGAGGATTTTCCGTAAACGGTGGTGAGAAGTATGTAACTTTCATACTTTCTAGCTTAGGTCTGATATCTGGAAATTCTCTGTTACCTAGCACTGTATCACCCTTTTGGAGCAAGTCAAAGAATTCGGATTCATTTACCAAAAGTTCATCAGGTTTTTGATCCAAATAACACGTAGTTTTGTAGGTGATAGCTCCATTTGGGGCGCAGGCTAGGAAAAATTTAAAATTGTACCAGTTTTTGTAGGTCGCATAAAATGTTATTCTTTCATGTTCGTTGTCTGGTACTTCTACATGAACATCAACGCAGTCTATTATTGCCCTACAAGTTGGGCTTGACTTTTTAAATACATCTGGCATGACACTTCTGACAAAGTCTCTATTTGGCCATTTGATTTTTAAAATGGATGCAAAGTGTTTGAGGGTGATTAAACACATTTCAGTTACTTTTTGAGGTGACAAACCAAATATAACAGCTAAAGCAAAGTAATCCATCCCTTGCTTTAATTTCATCAAAAAGATCAACAGTCTGTTTGCATTACCAATTGGAAGGTGTTCCATTGGTGGTAAATTTTTCAACAGTAAATTAAATACTTTAAACGACACCCCACACATGTGAAGCAAATCATTGTTAGAATGAATGGTAGTTATCCCTTGAAAATTTACACTTTGCAGTCCTAACAAACCAAATGATAGATTTTGAGTAGTAGTAGCTGAACTGCTCTGAACTTTCTTTGATACTTTCAATCTGGAATCTACTTTTTGTTTTAATCTAGCTTGAGTTTCTGCGCAAATAAGGCCATTTTCGACAATTTTACTACAAGTCATGTAATTTAAATGCTGATTTTTTTTATCATTATACAATATATCTGCTTGACAACTGAAATCCACCATCACAGGTATCTCTTCTTTGATAAAAACTGATTCATACTCCTGCATGTCATTCATGGGGTCAGATATTTCTTCTTTGACTATTATGTATTCTATGTCCATATTTTCTGGTACTTTTGAATAATTATGATCTATCTTTTCCATAGTATTGTCTTGTCGTAAGCTACATGTTTTGAGCTTTTTAACTTTGGTTTCCTTTTTATTAGTATCAGAAGATTCAGGATCAGGAAACAATGTAGGGGTGTACGCTGGATGTTGCGGGTTGTCATTCTTTACTCCTCCAACAAAATGCTTATTACACAGTAAAGTTAATTTCATTGGTTGCCAGTCTTCACTGAAATTACTGCAACAAACAAACCAGTACAAGATATATAATCATCTTTATTTAGACAAATGTAGTTTTATTTTTTAAACTTTTAGGCATTTTTGTACATCGATTATGTATTTTTCCGTCAATTATCTGCCCCAGACAAACCGTTAGGATTCGAAGTTGAGTGTTTCAAAAACACGTTACATAAAGTATTGATAATTGCATTTTAATGATTTAATCTTTTTCCACTTTCATAAGCTCAAAGTTCTCACGTGCGTGGATCGTTTTTTAAAATTTCGGTTGAACTTTAAAATCTTATTTTTTTTTGTGGCGAGCATTTTTGTTTTGACCACAAATACTTGTCTATAATGTATAATTTTATTGTTCAACACGAATCTTACCAGTTGCTAATAACAGCTTGTATCCATAGTTTGCGCCTGGTGCTGTTGATGGGTTCGGGCGACGGGAAAACGTAAAAATGCAAAGTGCGATTATTGCTGTTACTTTTGCAGCCCTTAACGCAGCAGTGCTTTACTGTCACCGGATGTCTTAGTCTCGGTAAACTCGGCACCTTTGCTATTTTTTTTTTGCCGTCGCTGTCTGCAGGACACTCTGGACTCTTAACCTCAACATTGTCTCGTAACCTCAAGTGTGACATTTTTATTTTTTTCATTTGATTTTGATGAATTCACACACAGCTTGGGATGAGCTTTTTCCAAATACTTTGACTACACCTGTAAAGCTTATCAAGTTACTGACTTAGACGTTCAATAAATAATTAAATACTTTTTAAAATTAATTTTACATTTTTTTCTCTCCAACAATAGCTCTTACAAAACTTAACTTAACATACAGACTGATAGACGGCGCTTGCTCTGCTTCGTGACACCGCCGTTTTTTTTTGTGTTATCTACTGTTATCTCTATAGCTGTAGCTAGGTAGAGTCGCGCGCCAGAAATTTTCAAAAAAAAATTCCACATGCACATTTTTTTTCTCTCTCTCCCCCGTACGTTTCAATGTATATGACGTATACTTGATGTAAAAAATTAAACTTTGCACTATTGACGCAAAAATTAATAATAATTATTATTATTCAATTATTTACATAATATTTTTTTCTTTTTTTGTTCATACATATTTAGATCGATCTTCAGAAGGCAACTCTGATAATGGACGACAGTTTCACCACGTCGATAATTTCCGGTACTCGTATACCTCTGAACGTGGAAGAACCGGTGGCCTGCTGGAACGAGACTTTCCACGTGTTGGGAAAACGCATCGAGGTTGACGTGTGCGTTGCGCCTGTACTCGTTTGCACCGAAGCCAGTCAAACAGCCGGTGGCGGCGATAACATTTCCAGTGCTGGTCTTGTGCTTCAGATTTGAAGCGACTTTGGACGATTTTCATTGATTCCCTTGTAATGTATAGCGTGATGATATCGATTGCGCACTAGGAGTTGATTTGTTTTCGNTTTTTTTTTTATCTTAATGTTCGTGTAAAGGGTCTTGATTGACAATCCCTTGATATATTACGTTAATTGTTTGATAAAGGCATTTTTTTCATAGTTTAAGAGAGTATTCTCACTATGAGTATAAATTCATGTAAATCATGAAGTTATATATTTTAACGTTACTCTATAATGTACAACAATCGTTGTTTTAAAGTAATTTTAAAGTAAGAAAAAAATAACGCTTATTAAATAGATATGTGATACGTAGGTAGTTGAACTTCAATTAAGATTTGTCTATGAAAATTTTATAAATACTTACAAAAAAAAAAAAATAAGCAAAATTTTAAAGCATTTGTATACACGACGTTTTAAATAGAATTTAATTCCACGTTGGATAACTTTAGCATTTCCCATTAGCCATTCCATTTTTAAGGTTCTCTACCCACACCTTGACTGACTGCTTGAATTTTGCATAAAGATTGACGTTAATTGAACTTGAAAAGTTCGCGAATATTATTGTTGCGGCACTAGTTAGGTATAAGTGATGTGCAATAATTTTATACTTGAAAATTTGTAATTGTTTCATCTGACTTGAACCTCTTTTAATACTATGTAATTATTGTTTGAATTCTATAAAGATTAAAATAAATCCGTTGAAAACTCGTATGCAAAAATTTCTTTAAATCCATAAGATTTTTATGGTGATGAAAGTTTACGAATCCTCAAAACTTGTTTCATTATAAGTTTTGCAATTTCTAGTCACTGCTACGATCGCTACATATTGAGACTTAAAATAAAATTGTTTATTTCAGAGAAATTATTCCAAAGGTATAATTTAGAAATGAAGTACTATAATGGCATGCTTTTAAATTATTTTATATATATTTATCTTATCATCATACAATCCCTGATGAGCAGGAACTCATATTACAGCGTAACAATTAAAATTGCCATGTGACTTCCTTATTTGATACACCATTCACAATGTTCACATTCACAACACTCCGAGTTGAGTTGAAATTTTTTTTGCACTCCATACACTTTTCAAGTTTCGTCTGTATTTATTTTTAACGCTATCACTCATCATTTCTCATTAAAAAAGTACTTGTAAAAAATAAAATAAAAGAAAAATTTTCTCACTACTTTCGAAATATACAATTTATCAGTAAAAGTAGTAGATGGAAATTATTTGGGTGATAGGATTGAAACCGCAATTTCATTAATTATGTTGAATGTAAAACCATCGAGTTACACCTGAAGGTCATCTATTGTGAAATTCGATTATGAGTGTCCCGTTTATATTCCAGATGGTCATTGTGGTTATTCGACCGAGCAGCGTTAAAAACGGTGTTTTTTACTTGTTCGCAGGACTGAGCGAAATATTTTGAATTTATTATTTAAACACATGTTCGTTAGGATTCACGAAACAATAAATATCTGATTTGAAATTATATTGAACCAAAGGAAAATCGCAAGTCTACCTGTGTAACAAACAAAAAGCAGCTAGAGCCACGCAACGGTCACTCAGTCGATATTCAATCTCGTCCATCTCGCTGCCACACAAAATGTCTATCTACAATATAGTGTCACCCTCGTCGATTCCTAGCATCTTGAGATCGTCGGGACCGGGCGCAGTCTCGAGCTCAGGTTCCTGTTGGGTGATCTCAGGAGGCGGCTGGTCCATGTAGTCCGGGCCATAACCCACGCAGCCCAACATACTGTACATTGAGCCATACATTATCGTACTGTCCTGGTTGTGATGGTGTTGAGCCTCGGCAGCTTCGGCTGACTGTTCAGTTGGGAATATAATGTCCAGAGCTTCTTGGAGGTCCTCGGGCAGTGGCGCACCATCTGGTCTTTTCTCACCTGTCTCTACCATCTCGTTAGTTTCAGTTACTTGTGGCATGGCGCCTGGTATTACCGGTGGAGGGATTTCGGTGTTTGGTAGGGGAGGTGGTGGGTTTGTGTACATTCCCGGAGGTGGTACATGCATCTGTGGAAGGTACGGTGGCATTTGTGCTACCGGTGGTGGTGGCTGTAAACAAAATCATTGACTCGATAATATTCAATGAAGGACAAAATAAAATACTCCAAAAGTATTATTGATGACTTTTACCTGATTAGTTGGATGCATGAATGTATTCGTTACAAAAGGCGGAGGTGGTCCTTGAGGTGTGAATGGCGTGGGCTCAGGTGCAGCCTTCTTCAGGGCAGGATATCCAGGCGGTGGTCTACTCGTATTGGGAATGACAGGTGGTGGCTTAGTTGTATCTTCTTTGGACACTTCGACGTTTTGCTCGATAACCGTCTCATCTGATTGATCTTCGATTTCCATGTCAACCGGTTCAGCCGTTGTAGCGCCAGTACCATTGCTTTGTTTCGATGTAGATGGATTTTTATCATTAAGCGATGGTGGAGGTGGTGCCACAAGGATCTTCATCTTTTGATTAGGTGCTGAATTATTCTGTGGCACTACTGGCGTGGCTAGCTTCGGTACATGGACGACACCTGGTGGATTGATGATTTCACTGGGCACCTGCGGCGTATCCTCAAATTTACTTTGTGTATATGGTAGAGCAGTCACCTCTTTTTCAGGCCCTTTAGAATCATCCTTTTTTTTGAAAAGTGGTAGCCTACCAATAAAGGGTAGCTTACCCTTAGACGGCTGCGCTGAAGACTTTTTTGAAGACTGGGAAGAACTGCTGGAACCACCCTTCTTTTTGTCCTTCTTGTCATACCTGTCGTCATTAAATTCCTCATCTCGTTTACTATACTTATCATAGCGCTTGGGACTGTAGCGATCATGCCGAGGTGAGTCGTTGGAGTCACGCCGCCGGTCACGATTGTAATAATCTCTGTCACGGTCACGCCTTTTTCTATCGTACTTGTCATACTTATCGTACTTATCGTATCTATTGTCGTATCGATCATATCTATCGTCTGTCTTCTTGTCCCACTTATTGCCATAAGAATTTTCACGCTTTTCATCCTTGTATCTATCTCGATCATCGTCTTTATCTTTCTCCTTTTCCTTTTCAACTTTATTAGGCATAATTTGTTGCTTTGTCCAGAAGCCCATGTGAGGTTTGGGCATATCCTCAGGCTTTGTTATGTGGACGATAGGAGCTTGGGGCTTGGGTTCTTCATCCTTCTTGATCCAAAAAGTTTTGGGTGGTTCCTTCGGTCCCCAACTCTGCATCTGAACATCAGTGTTGTTAGGCTCCGACCTCGGTTCTAACTTGGGTTGCTGATGTACGATTTCTTGTTCCGGCTTCACCTTAACTTTTTCACGAAGCGAGTTTACCATTTGTCTGTCATTTGCAGGCTCATTGTGAATCGCTAATAAACAGTCGGAAAGTGATTAAAAATTTCTCCACATAATTAACACAATCTTAGATATATGATAAAATCCATACCGTTGTAGTTATCTTCGTCATGGTGCAAAGATTGAGTTGAACCTTTCATTTTGTTTCTCATGGCAACTCGGATACTCTTAGATGGGTCATCAGGTCCTAACCCATTGTCAGATTCATTGGTTTCCGAATCGCTCGACGAATCGGAGTTGCTGTTCTTGTTTTTGCGTTTTTTGGCCTTCTTTTTGTTCTTTTTAGCCTTTTTCGACTTCTTGGGCTTGACAGGTGGAGCTTCTTCCTTTTGCTTCTGAAGTTCGATTTGGATTTGCTTGTTTTTCTCGTCAGAGAAAGCTTTCTCGCGATCGGCCATCCAATCGGTCTCCCAATGAGGACTTTGTTCCACAAAACGCTGTAAAATGTTTAATTAAAACATATAATTTACACTGTTGCATCATTTGTAAATTACAAAAGAATTATCAATTGAGCAATTTACGCTATAGTTTTCGGAATGCCGGCGAGACTTCAGATGAAGACTAGCGCAGTGAAGATCTCCAATCCAAGTGCTGCATAGTTTACAATACCAAGCGGTGGCTGGGCTGAAAAACTGTAGACCTGCAAAGCAAAGATGAAAAACACAAAGGTTAAAAAATTCAAATCTGCGTGAATAAGTGCTGTCAACTCTTATCATGTATTTTTTATATGAAGATAAACCTTGTGCTAAATCCGAAACTTTCTAAAAAATCATCATGCTGAAAATAAAGGTCGTGTTTTATCAAGGGTTTATTCTGAGTGTATTATAAGGGCTACTCTTTAAAACTTATATATATATATATATATATATATCTGCGTCAACTGATTTCCTAAAAAAGGGTTCATTTTAAGGAGTGGTTGGAAAGGATTTATATACAGGATGAACTTTATTTTAAGATATCGTACATTTAAACAAATTACATTTCATTTGCTTTGTCGTGATCCAAGATATAAGATTATCTTATATAAGTACTTAAATTAAGTGCGAATTCGTGCTTTTTACAGTCGCTTAAATACTAAAAATAATATTTCCATGATAGGATCGATGTTTTTATCTGTGGTTTTTACACCACACATTGTAAATATTTTAGACGAATGTTGCCAGCAGCACTTCTTGAAGTACGTTTATCACTTGTGAATATAATCACGTAAACCTAAATTAATTAAAAAAATTTTAATACAACACCATATCAAGAAGTACGTCACACGCGAATAAAAATAATGTAATCACATGGCACCACTTATCATAGAGTTCTCTTGACAGAACTCTAATCTCCGATGAGAACATGTAATCCAATACCTTTTTTTCTTTGAACACTCATTACCAATTAATTGACGATACTCATGATAAGCCCCAAAAATGCAACAAGTGCATGGCCATCTATGTTTTGTTAATATGCTTGTAAAAATTCAAGCAGCGTCTGACTTCACAGCAGACGGTTTAGATAGGAGACAATAAATCATATATAATGTATATATTCAACAAAATAGATCATTGAGCGAGATATTGTATGTTTTACTGGCATATTTTTTAAGTTTCTTCAATACATACCGTAATAACGCGACAGTGTCAGCGTAAATTCGACGGAATTCTTCTGCACAATTAAAAAAAAAAAATCATAGAAAAATTTTAGCCATTTGAAGACACTCATACCTTTAATTGGTGTTCTTTTTGTCGGCAGTCCGGGGTAAGATGGCATTTCTTTCTCTGTCTGTCCGTTTTTATCGTCGTGCCATGGCATGTCGACTATCTTGCGCTCCTAAAAACATAAAAAAATATGCTTACTAGTTTTTTTATGTACATTAATATTAATTTTTTTTTTTGAGTATCAAGTTTTATATTAAAAACACCTGATTTACAATTTGAATTTTTTTTTATTAGACAAATATTAAAAAGAAAGAAAAAACTAATACTCAAAAAAGATAAATAAAAATAAAATGATGTAATGGAATCCATCAACAGCAAAATAATTAAATGACTTACCTGACAGGTTTCTTTATGCTCATTGCTATGTAGGTGATTTAGGTATTCTTTAGCCGTTTTCGGAAAAATATCGCATGTTTTGCACCAATGCATCTCTGGATCATAATGAACGAAGTTGTAGGTGGGTTTGTCTTCTTCGCTCTTTGGGCTTTTTAAGCGCTTTGCTGATGAGGGTGTGTATTTTACTCTCAAATCTTCGATCGACAAATTGTCACCGATAATGCTGGTCAACATATCGATCGCCTTATGAATGGATTTCATTTTTTGTTCAATCTCGTCCTGCACAAGTACACAGTACGCCACAAATGAATATAAATTCTCATTCTATACCAAAGATTGAATGTTTTTACACAAACCTGCAGTTTTTTGTTCTCCTCAATGATGCGACTATTTTCCCTACTTGGCTCCTTGCCGATTTCTTTGAACTGCTTACGTAGAATTTCTAATTCTCGTTGGAATGTTGAAGACTTCTTGACGAAACCTTCGCGCTGCTGTGCCAACGTAGCTTTCTGATGCTTCAGCTCAGCTGCGATGGCTGTTTTGTTGTTAAAGATACATTACATGGATGAAAAATCAAGCTTTTTACGATTGAGACAACAGATAAGTTTAACAATCTTTACACCATTAAATAAGATGCACGACTCATGAAATAAATAATAGATATAATAAAACAAGTAAGGTGTGCGCACCTTCTTTTTTAGCTTGTTCAGGTCTATTGCCAGCGGCAGCTTGAGCCATAAGAGCTACTAAGGCTGGATTGACGACGTGCGGCTGTGACGCTTCTGTACCACGTGGTATTGCTGCAGCCGCCGCTTGTTGCTGCTGCTGTTGTTGCTGCTGCTGCTGCTGCTGCTGTTGTTGTTGTTGCTGGTTGCTATACTGAACAGTACCTTGCCAGTTTGGTGGTGGATAATCCTGCGAATGGAATAAAAAATTGCCTTGCTCAGTTTTGGACCCTACAATGAGGAGACATGAATGATAAATCTTGGTTATTTTTTTTTGTAAATATTTTAGTGTCTTACCTTAATCAGATTTTCCACTTTGGTTCGGACTTACTTTTAACTTATTTAGTTGTATTTAAAAAAAAAATCATTTTTGAGACGCTTTGGTACATATTANTAAAGTATAACTTCTTAGTTGGGTATACAAGCACCCACTGTCCTAGTTTATTTTTTTTTTTTTTTTTTTTAGCGATGAACAATTTATAGACATTTTTAAAGAAAATTCGACGGCTGATCGCGAGAATATTAGTGTTATACTTACGCTGGCTTAACACTAGATTACAACTTTTATATTTTTCGTGAGTTATTTGTAACGATATGAACATGATGCAGTCGATGGTTGTTTTATCTAAAAATTTTTTTTTTAAAAGTCGCAGTGCAAAATTGTGGCTTTGCAGACGAAAAATCGTGAAAACGTTTGCTTTTTCATAGATGAACAATATTGCAAATATTTGCAAGGCACTATATAGTTATTATTGCATGTATGCAGCAGTGTACTGATGAAACATTACTTCTTGTTGATTTTTGTGGTAACTTGGATGATTTTTTTATAAAGTTTCCTTCTGTTTCAAATTTTTGTCAAAATATATAATTGATACGCAATTTAAAGAAAAACTTACATTTCTGTACCCAGTAGCAGCCTGCTGATACCCTGAGTAATCCGCATAGGCCTGGTTCTGATGGTAGTTGTAGTTGTAGTTTGTGTAGCCGTGGGCATACTGCATTGGTGGAGGCTGGCTGGTGTTAGGCGGTGGAGCCTGTCAACGAAAATTCAAATGAACAAAGTACCTTCTAATACTTATATTAAATTGTTAAATTACAAAACTTACCGTATACTGATTAAGAACCTGTGGGGGTGGGTAGCCAGTGGCACTAGGTGGATTGGATGCCTTGTTGGGTTGCATGGCTGCAGTTTTCCATTCATGATCCCTAGAGTTATTCTCTTTCCTCCTGGAGGACATTTCTCTTGAACTGGATCGCGACCTGGATCTTCTGTACTTTGATCTTCTAGGCGAGGGTGATCTGTCATACTTTCTAGATCTTCTCCTCATGCTATCTGACTCTTCGCTAGGACTCCTAGGTCCTTTCCTCCTACTTTCCGTCTCCATTACTTAGCGTACAAGCTTACAGCTGCTGTAACTTGTAACACGGTAACGCGGTACGCTACTTAGTATCGAATCTTTCAGAACCCAATTGTACACAATTTTGCCAAAGGCATGAAAAATAAAGTACCTACAGGTGGCTCTTGATCTTCAACAGCCTTGAAACAAAGTCCAACCTCAACACAGCACCAGACCGGGTTTACGTTATGTTATGTAGGTATGTACATATTTGTTCAAGGAGAGAGAGAGAGAGAGAGGGAGAGAGAGAGAGAGAGAGAGAGAGAGAGAGAGAGAGAGAGAATTAAGGTTATGAATAGTTTCAACGCACCCCCACACACCGAAACAGCCGAAGAAAAAAAAAGAAACGGAAAAAACCTACGCGTGATATACTGTCTCAACAATTACTTGCTAATGGACTCTCGCGATGAACTTTTTATTTATATTAGTGATTTTTCAACAACACGAGCTGCAGGCTGCAGCTAAAAATTTACTGTACGCGTAGTCTTACGTGTGGTATAGATGCGCGAGTCCGAGTCGGCGAGTATAGATGTATATTTACGTATAATATAGTTTATGCATACACACACTCGCAACAACTTCTCCAGGGAGGCAACGATGATGATGGGGGAAGCAAAGTACTTGAATCGTCTATCACGGGTCTATCCTATCGTTTTCGGAAGTGCGGCCGGCTTAGCACACACTTATCCACGGGATTATATAGGTTGAAAGATATTTAAAAGTCAAACGTTTTTCGATGAACGCGTTTTCATTGTCGTTGATGACGACGACTTGTCGGGTTGTCCGCTCTTCGATTGTAGACTGTATGCGTGTATATAGGTAGAGGATGAGACGCGCATCAGCGCTATAACACAACGCACAACTCACGCGATTCACTGCACAAGGGGACAGGGGACAGGGGGGAAGCTTCTGTGCGACACATTGGGTGTTTTCCGCAATCGTCACCTGCAAGTAATAGTGGATTGCGCTCTACGTTACCATCAGGTCGGTAAGTCAACTACCTTGAATTAACAGGCGCTCAATTCCGTAATCTGGCCAGTTAAGACAGCAGACGACGTGAAAGACGAGGAAAAGGTAAAGATTTCGTCGCTGTTGACTGTCGTCTGCTATTTTAACTGGCCAGATTACGGAACAGAGCGCCAGTTGATTAAAGGTAGTTGACTTACCGACCTCATGGTAACGTAGAGCGCAACCTAAATTACTTGCTGGTGACGGTTGCGGAAAACACCCAAGCAGCTTTAATATTATTAAATAAGCATAATACTTACATTACAATAGGAGCACACCACTACTTATAAACCTTTTTCTATAATTTTCAACAAAATCAAGTAAGTTTGATAAATAAATTTAAAACATTTACTTCTAACGATTAGGAAAAAATTAACTGCTAAAGAACATTGACGAAGCTTTTGAATAACAATGGTTAATTTGAAAATTAATTTTTTTTTAAACAAAAAAACAAAAAACGGATTTTATTCAGAATTTTATTTCTCACATTAATTCATGACAGCACGTATTGGTAAATAATTCATAGATGATGAAATCAGTTCCTAAAGTACAAAATCGTCATTAGCTTTTTATTTAGAACAATAAAAAGGGATTCATTTTTTGTATAATTCTCATATATTTTTATTCCACGCTATAGCGATATAAAATTACTACTATAGGTATACATACAACATCATGATATTACTAATAAAAAAATTTCCTGCCAAAATATCATATAATTCTTCCACAATTAATTAACAAGAAAACTGTTAAGTAAGAATAATATTCTTTAATATGTTTTACACATTTTTTTCCTTTGTCAAAAACTCTTTTTTTTCAATCTATCTAAATATTTATTTATAACCTAATTTTACTTTAACGAATAGCTCGTCCTATGCCATACTCCAGAAGAAGATTACCTGGGGCAAGTACGTCAATGGCGACAGCATCGAAAAGTTTACCTACATGTTTGGACTGGTTTTCGTGCAATGCGTCGTCAACTGCCTTTTTGCCAAGGGACTTCTCGTCGTCACTGTGATGAAACAAGGTGAGGATACCACCAGGGTTGTCTACTATGCCTGCTCAGCGCTTATGTGCCTCTTGGCGATGGTGTGCAGTAATATGGCTCTGCAGTTCATTAATTATCCCACCCAGGTCGTTGGCAAGGCTGGCAAGCCTATTCCAGTCATGATCTTTGGAGTGCTTCTAGGTGGAAAGGTGAGTTTTACTGATCATTGATTGGTATTATTTTCTTCAAGCCATAATTAAATTGGTATTGTTAGTTAGGAGAAAATAATATATATCTCGTCAAAGTCAGAAACTTTGAAATAAACATCAAAGTACAACAAACTAGAAATACCTGGAAATCACGTCATATTCTTATTTTAAATTATGTTTTATTTCAGACGTATACATTCAAAAAGTACTGTTTCATCACTTTGATTGTCACCGGTGTGGTTTTGTTTATGTACAAAGAAAATGCTGCTCCCAATGAAATTGAAGGAGAAGGTTTTGGACAGGTTCTGCTGCTACTCTCTTTGACAATGGACAGCCTCATAAGCGCAGTCCAGAATAAGATGCAAACAGAGCACAAAACCAAATCTGATGACACATGATGTTCAACATAAATCTCTGGTCGATATTGTACAACGGTGCAGTGATTCTTGTCACTGGCTAGTTACTCAGCTCTCTCAAGTTCCTACAACGACACCCATCCGCTATCCAACACATCTTTACCCTATCGATATGTGGAGCACTTGGTCAGTACTTCATCTTTCTGACCAT